ATATATATATATATATATATATATATATATATATATTTATTCGTTGAATACAAAACACAGACACTACAGCGGAGCGGTGCACGTTCCTAACAGGCACTCATGAGAGAGAGAGAGCAACACGGAAAGTCACCCCGTCGAGGGCGACGGTTATTGCCAACTAGCTGGGTTGGTCAACGAGGAGGACACGATCCGACGACTAGACGTCGGAGGAGGAGGCGGCGGCCTTGGTCAACGAGGTGACGGTGACCTGACTCCCGAGCAGTACCGTGCCTACGTCGGCGGTGAAGGTGTCGTAGCGGAGGAAGAACTCCACCACCAGCAGGCGACCCACCAGCACCACAAAATCCTTCCCGGGGCATTGCTTGTTCGATACTGTTGGGCTCTCCGTCTCCGGTCCGTTGGACCACACCACGTACTTGATCAGCTTCTTGCCCTCGTCCCCCAGGAAGCGGTCACCGATGAACCGGTCCGCGTCGTCGAACACCTTGGGGTCCCTGGTGGCGAACGGCTGGTACCCGAAGAGCATCTCCCCCTTCTTCACCTTGAAGGCGGCGTCGTGGCTCTCGATCACCAGGTCCTGCTTCGCCTTGCCGTACTGGTACTTCACCGGCGGGTCCATGCGCAGCGCCTCGTACACCACCGATCGGGTCAGATCCATCTTCTCCACCGCGTTGAGCGTCACCTTCCCGCCCTCGAACAGCACGGCGCTGCGGATCTCCTTGGCGAGACGGACGTGGAGGCTCTTGTCCGCCTTCGCCAGCCAGCCCAGGATCCCCGGGAGCAGCACCTTCATGCCGCCGTAGGAGTTGAAGACGGTGGCGAAAAGGAGGTTGTGGCATGCCTCGTCGCGCTTGAGACCCAGCTTCTCGGCGCTGTCGAGGGCGCTCCCGGCCACGCTGCTGAAGTACTTGTACAGCGCCTTGTAGTCGCACTTGGCGATGAGGGGCGGGAGGGGGAAGGTGTGGAGCAGCAGCTCCTCCAGGATCTTGGGGAGGCCGAGGGTCATCAGGGGGCACAGCTGGAGGAAGAGCCACTTGGTGGACTTGGTCGGGCCGGTGGAGCCGAGAGCCGTCGATGAGGGACGGACGCCGAAGTAGGCCTCGCCGAGGAAGTCGAAGGAAGTGTTATCGTTGAGCTTGTTGAAGTCGGACTTGCCGGCGGCGGTGACCTGCGACTCCATCGTCTCGAACAAGGCGGTGAAGTTGGTGCGGAAGGCCGGGATGACGGCGTCCTTGCGGGAGGCAAGGATGTTAAAGAGGAGCTGCTTCACCTTGGCGTGGTTGGGCTCGGATGGGTCGAGGTAGGAGCAGACGCGGTACCCGCCGGTGAGGGAGGTGGAGGGCATGTAGGTACCGGTGAAGACGTCCTTCTTCTCCACCTTGGAGACGTCGAACAGAATAGGAAAGCTGTTGGCGTCGAGGACGGCAATGACCCGGGGGTCGTTGGCCATGAACGGGCCCGGTGGCACGTTTAAGCGGACGACGGTGGAGTGGTATTTGTCGACCCGCGTCTGGAAGAACTTGTCCTGCCCCTGGAAGTAGTAGAAGTCGAGGCGATCGCGTATGGCGGAGGCAAAGGGGATGCCGTAGTCACCGGGGATGTCTCTGACGGGGAGAGTCGTGGCGGTGGAAGTCGCGGCACTCTCGGCCATTGCTGGGATCTACACCGAAGCTGCAGCTGCGCTCACAGGCGTTATCTCAATCTGAAGGATTCAGAGAGATGCGTATCTATGGGGGTTGTGCCGGTAGTGCAAGTGCTCCTTCACCGAACCAGGCACATCTTTTTATGAAGCAACGTGGCGTGCCCGCTCATGCCATGTTTGCCATGCTGTTCTCCTCCAAGACAGTCAAACTACTGGACTGATGTTATTATTATTATTATTATTATTATTTTGTAATACAATAATTCAATGCCTATTCCTCTCCAGTAATGATCATTTGGCCATATCTCTGTGGTCTCAAATATCTACGGATAATATTTTTGCAGGGTGAATTTTCTTTTGGGAAATTAACCGACAAAAGCGGCAGCCCTCGATGGCGTCGTTCGTGAATCCACCGCCGGAAGGTGGAAAACGTTTGTCAGCAATGGGTGGGTCCCGCAGTGAGCTCGGTTTCCCGTCTGGGTTGAATCAAACAGCGCTGTCGGCTCACCGTATTAGGTGTAGGTTTTTACGCCAAGACGGAAACGCGTCCAGCCGATGTTAAACGTGGGAGTCCATTTAACAGGCGAGGCCTTATCATGGCGTGTCGACGCGAGTCAGGACAAGCGTCGGCGCCGCCAGATGTGCGGTGGAGACGGGGACCATGCACCGGAGCAGGCGCAGGAAGATTGCCGTGGCCAAATGGGCTTAGATTCATCCAACCCTGTGTTCCTTCGTTGTCGCATCGACGCGAACTTTGGCGGCCTACCACGAAATAGGCCGACTCATGTTTTCGAAGGATTTGCTCATTGGCAGGATAATGAATAGATCGAGGAAGTCGATCTTCTATTTAATTGCAAATAGGCGTTGATTCATTCCTTAAGCTAAACAAAGATATGAGTGGATTGGGGGAAGATTCCACCCCCAATGTTATTGCTCATAGGGTGGCAATATTGCCCAGTTTCTTAATACATAGTTTTACTCTAACCATCTCAATTATATATATTAAAAAATGTAACAGTATTTTAATAATGTACTATAAATTATTTAATTATCATACAAATAAAATTAATATGAAAGGATTTGAGAATTTGACCACTTGCCACTTGTTTCGTGTGTGTATATATATATATATATATATATATATATATATATATAAAACTCATTGCTTAAGCGAATAGTCATCGGCTTTAAAATCTAATATCTTTCTCCGAAAAAATAAGAATTAGTTGTACTTTGTAAGCTTTCGCTTGGGGATCATAAGCACCATAGTGAGAGCAACATTATAAGTAATTGCTTGTGTTATCATCATGTTGATTTAGAATGTTATGTAGCACCTCGTGTTGATGGAATATTAAACTTTATGACAAAGGAGTTAGTATGATTTATTTTCGTATAATAAATTATTTAGAGCTCGTAAGATCGACAAAGATTTGACATTGGAAAACAAGCATCTTATGCATATTTTTCTCAATTGGTGATGAATGTATACGTATGATTGGATTGAATTACACCATTATTTAATTAGTTATTATTCAACACGTAATTATTATATGATGTCTAAGGTGAAAAGAGAAGACGAAGGTTACTCTCCACCCATCTACTCATGTGAGTAAGAGTCCAAGATAGATGGTTATATGTTACTCTCTTTTTATCGCCCACATAAAGGGGAGATTGTTATAGATGGTTAGAGGTTATCTCCTCGTAAAATATTTCATCAAATATTTATCCATTTACGATCAGGTACAACACAATGAACAAAAGCTTATCTTTTTTATTACTCACTTCCACACTCATATATATTTCGGGTCACTAACTTAGGTATCGAAGGGATCAAATTAAGAAACCTCTCTTGACCTTGGTCTTCATGTAGGTGGTATCTAGAGAGCTCGATGTTTCCACCTAGGAGGCATCTCGGATAACCCTACATATATAGGTTCGGTCTATGTTGAGTTGACTCGAACGTTAATGACTCCTCTCAATATTTTTTGTGTTAGAAGGAAGACAACCTAGAGATAGCCTTTAAGGAGGAAGAGACGGAGTACTTTAACCCTAACTATGATGATGCCTATATAGTTTATATAAAGATGATCAACACTTGGGTGAAGATGGTCATGATTTACATAAATAGCTCTATCAAATTCCTCTATGATACTTTCTAAAAACTCGGGCTCTCGGATAATTACCTTATCCTTATAACTTCTTCGTTGATGAGGTTTATTGGCAACTCTATCTCCCATCTCAAGACTGCGAACCTGGATGTCACATTTAGAGACAACCATTGCTCCAAGATAATATTAACTTAATTCATGATGGTGGATATTACTTCAACGTACAACATAATCATAGGTCAACCAACACTGAATAGACAAGGTGGTGGCGTTGACCTATCACATGTGATGAAGTTCTTAATGAAAACCAATATTATAGAGCTAAGCAACATAGGGAGTCATGCTAATGCTACCTAATAGTGATCTCTCTATCGAAGAAGGCTTGATCCGAGGCACTATCTATGGTCCCTTGAGACTTTGTTAAGTTTATCCCACATCATAAGCTGGTGGAGCCATTGATTAAAGGGCCCCTAGACAAGGCATGACCCGATTGAGTTGTCAAAATCGAGGTGACGCATCTTGAAGAGAGACGGGAGCACCTCATTAACTTTATTCAGGAGAATGTCAAGATGTTTGTGTGGTCATCGAGAGACACGTCGAGAATATGTCTCTAATGTAGCTCAGCATCACTTAGATAATCAATGATGCTCTCTATCGAATATGTCTCCATTGAGAATCAACTCCAATATAGCTCAGCATCACTTAAATATGTCTCCCAAGGCATGACCAATAAAACAAATGCCTCGTAAGTTTACTCTTGACCACCAATAGATAATTAGTGATGAGATAGACAAACTATTAAGAACAAAGTTTATTACTAAGATGTAGTACTCCCAATGGCTCATCAACATTATACACATTAAAAAATATAATGAAAATTAGAGGATGTGTGTTGATTATACCGATCTCAACAGAACATACTTGAAGGAGAGCTATCATCTTCCTCAGATTGATCAGCTAGTTGATTCTACCTCGGGTCATAAGCTCCGTACTTTTATAGATGCATCCTTAGGGTATAACTAAATCAGGATGATATTAGAGGATCAAGAACACACTACCTTTGTCACCAACTAAGGCACACATTACTATCGAGTCATGTCATTCGGGTTAAAAAATACAGGTGCAATATATCAAAGGATGGTGAACAAAATATTCAAGCACCATATTGGGAGAAACATTGAAACATATGTTAATAATACGATTGTAAAAAGTAAGAAAGCCGACTCTCATTTGACGAACTTAGCCAAGATATTTCAAGTTCTAAAGAAGTTTAACATACAACTCGATCTAACCAAGTGTACATTCGGAGTCAACTTGGGAAAATTTCTTGGATACATTATACACTTAGAGGAGAATAGACACAAACCTCAAGAAGGTATGGGCCATATTAGAGATGCACCCTCCTCGATCGGTAGGGAAAGCCTAATTGTTAAGTGAATAACAACTCTCAGTCAATTCTTATCCAAATTGAGCGATAAGTATCCAGATTTCTTTCGAGCAGGCGATAAAGAACCTAAAGGGCTTCCTATGGATCGAAGAGTTTCAAGAGGTTTTAAAAGGTTGAAGGACCATATCGCCCAATTGTCATAGCTCACCTCCTCTACCTCGGCCAAAACTTTAAGCTTTTACCTCACTATTACTAACCTAGCTATCAACTTGGTGTTACGGGACGACTCGGGAGTTCAAAAATTTATCTACTATGTCAGTCAGATTATAAGTAGACCAAAGGAACGATGCCCCCATATCTAGAGGCTCATATTTATATAAGTATTGATAGTAACGAAGCTCCACCCTTACTTTCAAGCACATGCATTGTAAGTGATCACTGACCAACCACTCATATAGGTTATCTTTTAATTTGATATCTTAGGTTGGCTGTTGAGATGGTTAGTAGAGATAGATAAGTTCAACATCCGATATGTTCTGAGGACTACCATAAAGGCCCAAGCTTTTGTACACTTTATCTCGGAATTAACTCCTTCGCTTGAGATTGATAATGACGCCCCACAAGCATGGACGCTACTCGTAGATGGATTTGCCATCTCAGATGGAGGTGGTGCTAGACACATCCTACAAGGCTCGAATAAATAAGTGTATGAGCAAGCTCTCTAGTTCATGCTCAAAATATTCAATAATAAAGTCGAGTACAAGGCACTTCCCTTAAGGCTCTAACTAGTATGAGAACTTCAAGTTTAGGACTTTACAGTGATTAATGATTCATAGCTAGTCGTGAATTAAGTGATGGATAACTATAAAACCCAAGATGTAATCATAGTAACATACCTTGCCAAGATGCAGAGATTAATCTATAGCTTCTCTCGACTCAAAGTGTTATAGGTCTCGCATGAAAAGAACACATAGGGTGATAGCGCTTGCTCGATTAACATTAACCCGAGCCCCAACGGAGAGTTGTCCATTGGTCGATACATTGCTAACTTGAATCATAGAGAAGTACGATATGACTATAGTCGGGGAAGACCTAAGTTATATGGATGAGATCCTACACTATAAAAAAAATATGGGATGCTCTCAACAGACCCCGCATCGACCCAAAGAATCAAGCATCATCAAGCATAATTTTATATAATTAATGATCGTGTATATCATAAATCTTTTAACTACCAATTTCTCAAATGTCTGACGCCCTAGGAGACCGAGAGGGTACTCATCGAGGGGCATGAGGGTATCTACGGGAAACACATTGGTGAATAAACTCTCATCTTCAAAGTACTTTAACAAGGGTTTTATTAATCGATGTTGTACAAGAATACAATAGCCTATGCTCAAAGATGCCATAGGTGCTAGAACTTTGTGCAGAAATAATATCAATCGACGGTCCCTTTGAGTTCGATCGATTATGGATGACCTTTCATCCAATGTAATATAGACATTCTCATTCCTTTTTCGTCAACCTTAGGCCAATAAAGGTTTCTCATTATTAGAGTTGACTATTATATAAAATGAACTACCAATATCTCAAGGAAACCTCTCCACTATTATACAAAATGAACTACCAATAAAGGTTTCTCATCAATCAAGTTATTCTTGAAAGGTCAAAGAAATAGGTCATCGGAGTAAAAGGTATTTAGGTTGATGAACTACCAAGTATTTTATTGGCCTCTTGGATGATAATTAAGATTACGTTAGTAGAATCATCATTTAACTTAACCTTCGGCATTGAGGTTGGCTTGCCACCCGAGATAATGTTCCCAATACATCGGGTTAAGAATTTTGACCAGAAAATCACTGAAAATGGATTTCAAGCCAAACTCAAATTACGAGGTTAGAGCAAAAACCACACAAAGTACTGAGAAATAAAAAAGTAGTAGCCAGACTATATAACCAAGGTTCACCTTTAGAGAGTTGGACTATGAGACCTTGTGCTTCGGAAAACTGAAGTTAGCAACCTAACTAGATCTTAAAGTAAGCTAACATCTAATTGGGATGGGCTATATCGAGTCATCGAGATCGTCTAAGATGGAATCTATCACCTTGAGATAATAGGAGAAATTGTGCTATCGAGAACATGATATGTTACGAACTTAAAATTTTTTTACCTCTAAGACACCTCTTAGGATCAAGTTAGGGTGACTATGCCCCAAGCATCGAGCATTGGTCTACCATATCTTTAGTGCATGTTGTAAAGTGTATATATATTTTTAAGATGTGATTATTATAAATTGAGGATATAAAGTTTCATTATTTTAAAACAAACTATGAGGATATAAAGTTTTATTACTTTAAAACAAATTAAATCGACTCGATTGAGCCTCTACATTCAAAATGTAAGCAAAAGACACAAGGAATAGATTGGGTAGACAGATCCGACAACTCAATAAAAACCAACACATTATGAGATAACGGGCTAGGCATCAAGGCAAGGTGGTGTCTATCCTCGTATATCTTGGGTTACTAACTTGAACATCGAAAGGATTGGATCGAAAAACCTTTTTCGACCTCGATTTTCATGCGGGTTACGACCTTGGGAGCTTCATATTTTCATCTTAGACAAATATCAAACAACCCTACGCTTACAAGTCCACATCGTATCAGATTATGTAGGACGTCAATAATTTCTTCTCTCAACACTATGGATCAGATTTTGCAAGCTAATTTTCTTTGATTTAAACACTTCCTTCCTCACAGAATCAACGCAGTACAAAATATCATTTTGATACAGCTTTGTCAATATTTGCAAAACATAGTGAAGCACTGGACATACGGGATGAGCTGATTGCTTCCTCACCCGGCAAGCAGCAGGCCATATTCTGAATCTTCTTCCTTGCTGGTTCTTCTCGCAGTCATCACACCATTTGCCTTGTGAAGGCACGCACAGTTTGCTCTTCGAGATGGAAACGGAGGCAGCGGCAATCTCTGTAACTCGATCTACATGCTCTCGTAAAGAGCAGTAGGCCAGCTTCTGTCAGCGCAGAGAGCACTGGCGACAGCCTCTCGAGGAAACCTGTAGGACAGGCTGCCTGATATGCCCATGTCTGGTTGCAGAACCGGACGGATGATGCGGCCGCTTCTGCTGCCCACGGAGCTGACGTCCAGAGCTTGATCCACGATGCTGTCTCCTTCCAGGATTCTCAGCACCTGATTCCACACAAGAACACAACACGCAATGATCAGGAGAAGTCAGATTTGCTCTCCCTCCCCACCATACCATAAAGACATGGAATTACCTTGGACATGCTGGGTCTCGACTGCGGCTCTCGGCGAAGGCACAGCGAAGCGGCGCGTGCCATGGCACGCAGCTCCTGGGAGAAGAAGCGTGCTTGGTCCCGGTCCAGGCGCGGGTCGAGGAAGCGGTCGACGGCGATCGTTTGGCCATCTTCGGACGCCAGCGACAGAAGAGGTCTCGCCCACTCCACCAGGAACTGATGACCCTTGGGCAGGTTGGTATCCAGTGCTCTTCTGCCGGTGATGAGCTCCAGCAGCACCACCCCGAAGGCATACACATCCGATTTGTCCGTCACGATCCCGTGCTCGATGTATTCCGGCGCCAGATACCTGAGTGCCATCAACGCCCTGGCATTCGTCATCGGAACAGTACAACGAGCGACTAAGTAGAGGAGCAGGTCGAGAATTTGCTTCACCCGAAGGCTTCGGGGACGTTGGTGTCCACGGACCGAGATGTCTCTGTTTGCCATCTTGTGAGCCTGAAGTCCCCCAGCTGACATGAAACCAAGTCCAGTTCTTACTGCACGTCAAGGATTCTTAGCTTATTGCCTCGTGGTGCAGACTTACCAGGGGCTCGAAGTCGTGGGTGAGAAGAACGTTGTTGGGGCGCATGTCCTTGTGGACCACGAACCCCACCCGGCAATCCTCATGCAGGTATCTCAACCCTCTCGCCACGCCCACCGCCGTCTTCATCCTTGCGATCCAATCCAATGGAGGCTGTGCTTGCCCTGCATGCCACAAATGTTAACGGCAGTCTACGTGCCAAGGCGACACCAAAACCCAAGCTCAGATATGTACCATACAGATGGAGATCGAGGGAGCCATTGCAGATGTATTCATAGACCAGCACCTTCGTCGCCCCTTCCACGCAGAAGCCCACCAGCATCACCACGTTCCTGTGCTGCGCCCGGCTCAACACCTCCACCTCCTCGCAGAACTCCTCTTCCTCCTCCTCCGCCGCCGCCGCCGCCTTGCCGCAGCTAGTTGCCTTGAGCCGCTTCACCGCCACGACCCGCCCGTCCTCCAGGACCCCTCTGTGGACGCGTCCCCCGCCGCCTTCCGCCACGAAGGTCGCGTCGGCGAACCCGTCGGTGGCCACCTCCAGTTGACGGTACGTGAACCGCCTTGGCGGCTTCCCGAAGACCGGGGCCTTGTGTCGGCACAGGGAGCACAGAGGAGGGGGCACCGACGGGGAGCTCCCGAACAAGGAGACCGCCTCCCTCACGTCGGAGCTGTAGGGAGTGGTGCATTCCTGATCTGCCCCGGGGCTTCTCAGACGGTGGTCACCGCTCAAGTGCTTCTCCGTTTGCGGGCTCTTCTGGGTCGCTTTGGTGGCATTGTTCATCTGAGCTTTCTCTGGTGTGTAGTTTTGAGGGATCCAGTAGACCGCTCGACGGAGTTGTCCGGCCACGGGCCCTGACGCTAGGTGGAAGCCCGGGTACCCTCCGCGAGCTGACAAAGAAAGCACTGCAAACTCGTATTCGCTATGTATCGGCCAAATGCCCGATGTGGACAAAAAGCACAGCTTAATTCCCAAAGAACCAAGTACTCACATGCATCGTAGTGAAGCTTCAACCCCAGAGGAGTGGAACCAGTGCTTCCTCCCCCATTGTCTTCCGAGTCCGCTGTGCCCTCACCGTCGGATCCCACGTCCTCAATAGGAGTCAGATTCCCGGTGTGGAGCTTCTCAAAGAGAGGGTTGCGCTCACGGACAAAGAACGAAGCAGTCGGTGCGGCATTGGAGCTCAATGCCACCGTTTTGGTCTCCGGACGCGGTGAAGCCTTCTTTGCATCCTCCACAGGGCTGCTTGCGGTCTTCGCCAGCCGAGAGTTCTTGTCCAGATACTTCTCACTACAGATGGGAGAATGCGAAGAAGAAGAAGAAGACAAGGAGAAGGGAGGGAGCGGCTTGTTGTGGATGCCGCCCAGGTTGAGTCGGAGCACTTTTGCGCAGGACCCTTTTATCACCACTATGTTGCACTGCAGCTCCTCCATGCAATGCTTCTCCTCTTGTTTCAGCTGTCTGTGTGTTCCATACACGACAACATTAAAGGTACACATAAATCGAACAACAAATTGTCCACAAAGAACACTGCACACAATGTTTCTGCGCAAGTATAAACAAACAATCACAGGCATTTCGACAAACACCATAGCTGTAAGCTGCTAATTAACAAATACTTCGTCATTGCTTTCTTCCCCATACTTCGAGACTGTGGTTACGATTTGATATCACTAGAGATATTTCAATTTCTGAGCACAGCTCGAGTGTACTATTACCTATCAGACTTCTCCTTATTGAGCACACACACAAATTGAATTACCGAGGTGGAATGATTCTTTCGAGGAGGGCGACAGGCTAACTGGCCTGAAGCCATAAGAACTCTGGGGGGAAGGAGAAAGGTCATCTACTCTCGGATCACGTGTTCGCAAGCAAACAATCTGCCCGGACGACGATATCCAAGCAGCTGCAGGTGACCCTCTCGGATTGTAGCGGGAGAGGAGACAACGCCCATGGCAAGGAGGGTGACAGTTCGCGCATCCACCAATCTAAAGGCCAAACAGAGAGTGCCGTGATGTGGGCGGTACTTGCTCAAGTCACCACATCCGAGCATGTAAAGCTATCGGCCACACTCTGCACATCCACTCGGGTAAGTTTTCATCCTGGAGGGAGGTAAAAGGACCCTCGTGTGGGCGCGCTTCCATCACATCTTATCTTCAGTTGCAAGGACGCTGCAACTTGAGCTACTCTGGTCCACCGAGGACGCAGACATCGTCAACACCGGGTTGACATTAAATGATCTTTGAGCGTATAATTCCATAGTCGAAAAGCGTATGAGAATCCTAACTAAGCAATGTAAGAGGCGAGTAATAATTGACTGCACTGTCCGGGAGCAGTCGTCCTCTTCAATCGCTGCTACAGTGTCTTGTACGCAGTGCACATGCCCGTTTATGATCTGGTTTGTGCACAGGATTCCTCGGCTGAGAGAAGATGCTATGAGCCAATGATGCTAGTTTGTCTTGTTCCTCAGTAAAAGGAAACACAGCATTGCAAGCAACAAGGTTCGTGGATTGGCGTGCCAAGAGCCAACAAGATGATGATCGTCAAACTGGCAGCTTGGCGGGCATCGCTCGGCGTCGGCGTTTAATGCACGTATTAAGATACTATTGATGGAAGAAGAAGAGAGGACGTCGCAGCACATGGAGAAACAGTGCGGGGAGGAAAAAAAAAGTATGGAAGGCGTGTATAGCAACTGTTGTAGAATAAGGGTTTGGGGGATTACTTGTCGAGTACGACCCAGTTGGCACCAACTCTCTTTGACTCCGCAGCCACCACGCCACCGCCGCGGTCGCCGGAAGACGAAGACGAAGAACCTGAGGCATTTGGATCCGATCCCACCACCTTAATCCTCACATTTATCTGCACAAGGAAAAGGAATCACGACCGCCGTCACTTCCTGCCCCTGAAATCGGATAACAGACAAGCCCGAATCGCAACGACAAAGGCAGAAAACAAAAAAGGAAGGAGCGAAAACATGGCTGTTTCTTCACACTGTTGTGATTCACTGTCAAAGGAGATAATCTCCATGCCCGAGGAGGTAGACAACCAATGCAGTCATGTGGTTTGAGTACCTACCTCGCTGCGGCCATCGATTTGAAGCGCCATCTGGGAGCAGGAGGCCGAAATCGGACACCTTTCTCGGCTGCGGCGATCCCCGCCGAACCCGGGGAAGCCCCAGAGCAGCCACCGGCGCCAGCCTGCGAACAAAATCGCGCGCGAAAGTCAAACAAACAGATCGAGAAGCGAGGGGAAAAGGAAGAAGCGCCCGCCCTACCGGTGGCCTCGCGGTCTGCGAGGACTGCGAGCAGCGTCACGACGTCGCCGGGGCGCACCACATGTGTGAGGGCCCAGGCGAGGGCCGTCTTCGAGATCTCCCTCTCCGCCCGCACCGCCACCACCACCACGTTCTCCGGCGTCGACGACATCTCGCGCCGCCCCGAATTACCTCCCATCCTCTACCATTCGCAGCGTCAGCGGCAGGCGCTGCTATCGGTCGTGTCAATGCAACGCCACATCGACCGACAGCCACCACAATTATGAGCTTTCTACTCTCTTGCTTGCGCACTGAGGGAGCAGTTAAATATAGAGTTGAAAAGGGAATCGGAATGGGGTTGAGAGCCTTCCATATTATACAGTATAGGGCAAAACGCAATCGATAGAACAAGGAACAGCATCCATACGTGGGATCGGTATAGCGAATAAGATGGTGTAGCTGATAGGACTGGGTCAGTGGCACGCAGGACAGGACACAGACAGATAGAAGCATATATATATTGTAGTGGCATGCATCGCACCGAGGTATGTTAATTGGTCAGGCTATCCTCTCCATAATATGGCTGTGGAGTTCGACCACAAGCAGGCCCTGACGGGGGGGGGGGCTCACGGAGGTCATGTGCAGGGGGCCGCCCGCGCCTCGCCAGAATGGTCCCGGAGCTCCGTGCTGTGCTGACATTTGCGCCTGTCAAGTAGGACGGGCATTAGACCGAACATGTACTGTGCACGCCACTGCCTCTTTTTGATCTAATTAATGCAGTGCTCGCTGGTGGCCACCTGTTGACATTGAATTCTATGCCTTGGACTGTATCCGATGCTTGCTCAGATTTCCCCTTATTCTTCTTGATTCAATGCTTGGGATCACCATGAAAACACCACTCTACATTTCGTCAAACAATTCACCAAATCTGACCAGTAAACTCGTTCACCAGAGAGGCCAATCTCCTTTCTGTTCTTCGCGGTATGCTTGTGAGTGAAAAATCTCGAACCATATCTGAACTCAGACAGCAAAATCTCCATGCATGGATCGGTCGCACAGCTCCACAGTGTAAGATGGAAGCTTCCATGGGGTCAAACCTCTTGCATGATTGATTGGGAAAAATCTTGAATTATTGGATGGCCATGAGGAGTGTGCGGTAGATGGTGAAAGCCACCCCATCCCAAGCTGGAGTCATTTCAATCCACCGGCAAGACTGCGAGGTGTTATCTGCAATCACACAGAGTGTCAGCCAGCTAACTCTTCCTTGTTAGTCCACAAATGGCACCTTTGTCAACGCGACTGAAAGCTATCTGTTTCAGTCGATTTGGAGAACTCACCCAGCAGCAGCTGTTTCACAGAGGAGAAGAATATTGCCAACCACCGGCCATCGGCTGTGGAGTGACCGTGTTGGCCGCCTCCTCCTTGAGGTTGTGGTTGCTTCGTTGGACGAAGAAGATGACGTGGAGATGGGTGAGCGCGGAGGGTGGGCGGCAGGCTTGCTTCCGCAATGGGGCCGCGAGGCGAGTGCCGCCCACGTCGAACACCTCCCGGTCTCGCCCCGTCGTTGTCTTGGGGTCTGAGCGGTCTCCCTCCGTCTTAGCACAGAAGCTAAGCACGAATCTAGAAGCACAAGGACAACCTCTTTTGATGGATTATAGCGCAAAACAAGAGGTCTTCTCTCAGTCCAATAATAAGATACGGCAACTGTAGTTCTGAAAACTTGATCACGAATCTTGAAGCACACGTGTGCTATCCGTCGACTTTTGATGGATCGTATCCCATGAATGTACAAAATTGATTGCTTCTTCGGCCCAACTGAGCCCAATCTATTTTCTCAGCCCATTTAGTTAGCAGGCCGCATGCTAACTGGTCTGTTCTGACCTCGCGGGGAGAGAGAGAGAGAGTGGAGAGGGAGGGGGGAGGGGGACGGAAGAGCACACTCTCTCATGTTCCGCCACGCCGCAGCTACGAGGCCAAAAAGCTACTTCTTCCTCGCGCACCGCCGTCAGCTGTCGAGCCAACGCCACGCCTTTCCCGTCGACTTCATCGCCACCGCCATCCGCCCCTTCCCGGATTACTCCCCCAAGAAGCCCGCCATCTATGACGCGGAGCTCGTCCGCAGCATCGTCACCGCCCTCAAGCAGCGCCGCTCCGAGTCCCCAGACGTCATACTCGGCCCCTTCGCCGCCCGATTTCGCTCCGACCACCTCGTCTGGGCCTTCCTCCATCTCCGCTCCGACCCCGTCCTCGTCGGCGCCCTCCTCCACTGGTACCGACCCCGCGGTCGCCCCGTCCCCGCCGAGGCGCTGGCCATCGCCGCCCACGTCGCCGTCGTGTCCGGCGAACCAGCATCTGCGCGCCGGCTGCTCCGCGACGGCCTCGTCTCTCATCGAAATTTCGTCGATCGGGTGATCTACACCTACAAGTACTGGTGCTCCGTCCCCTCCGTTTTCGATTTGCTCTTCGGCGCCATCGTTGACATCAATAGGCTCGACGAAGCCCGCACCCTCTTCCGCCACTTGGTTACTTACGGGATCATCGTCTCTGCTGATGCTTGCAACGCACTGCTTAGTCGCCTGACGCTCGATCATATGCTGAGTACATTCTCAGAATTCCAAGAACTCGGTCTTCGGTGGAACACCAAATCTTGTAACGTCCTTATTCACGGGTTCTGCGGGGCAGGAAAGACTGGAGAAGCCCATAGGATACTTCTTGAGATGGAAGGAACAGTGGGTGCTTCGCCTGACATTATAAGTTATAGCACCCTCATTGATGCGTACTGCCGCTATGGGGAGCTTCTGCAGGCGACTGAGTTGTTTGAAGAAATGGGTGACAAGGGTTTGATGCCGAATGCCTTTACCTTTAACAGTTTAATCACCCTCCTCTGTAAGAATGAAAAGGTAGTGGAAGCAGAGAGGGTGTTCACGGAAATGATGTTCCGTGGAGTAGCTCCGGACCATGTCGTATATACTACTCTGATTAATGGATACTGCAAAAGCGGTAAGCTGCCTGCGGTGTATCGGCTTGTTGAAGAAATGAAGAATAGCCAACTAGTTCCCGATACGGTCACTTATACTGCTCTGATATATGGACTCTCTAGGAGTGGAAATATGGTCGAAGCAAATAAATTATTCCGAGAGATGGTTGGTAAAGGTCTGAGTCCTGACGAAGTTACTTACACTGCACTTATTGACGGTTACTGCAAGGAAGGGAAGATGAATGATGCCTTTTATCTCCATAATGAGATGCTTCAGATGGGCCTTGTCCCGAATGTTGTGACATACACTGCATTATCAGATGGACTTTGTAAGCAAGGGGAGGTAGAGACCGCTAATGAGCTTCTGCGTGAGACCTCTGGCAAGGGACTAGAGCTAAATGTATTTACCTACAATTCACTGATAAATGGTCTTTGTAAAATTGGTAATATAGAACAGGCTGTGAAGACCATGGTGGACATGGAGGCAGCAGGACTTTGCCCAGATGTTTACACTTATACTACCATAATGGATGCCTATTCCAAGTCAGGCGAGATGGATCAGGCACATGACCTTCTTAGGGAAATGTTAGACAAAGGTATTCAACCAAGTATTGTGACTTTTAATGTATTGATGAATGGCTTTTGTACTGCTGGGATGTTAGAGGATGGAAGGAGGCTTTTGGAGTGGATGTTGGAGAGGAGTATCATGCCAAACAGTGCAACTTATAACTCTCTTTTGAGGCACTACTGCATGGAGAAAACTATGAAGACCACAACTAAAATTTACAAGGAAATGCGTGCTAGTGGGATAATGCCTGATGAGAATACATACAACATTTTGATCAGGGGGCATTGCAGGGCCAGAAACATGAAGGAAGCTTGTTATTTTCACAGTGAAATGATTGGCAAAGGGTTCAGTCTCAGTCGTGGTTCTTACAATGCACTTATTAAAGGGCTTGTTAGGAAGAAGAGGTTGACAGAGGCAACACAACTATTTGAAGAGATGAGAGCCAAAAATTTGGTTGCTAATAGAGAAATTTACAATATTTTTATTGATATAAATTACACTGAACAAAATATCGAGATGACACTTGAACTTTGTGATGAAGCAGTAGAAAAATGCCTTCCAGAGTCTGATCTTAATAAAATTTGATGCATGCATTTGACTACAGGATTGTGGAGATGTGCTGAATATCAAGTGTGGTGCTACGGCACTGGCAGATCTGATTAATGATTTGTAGTGCAAGAATGTTAGAGGTTCGTCGCATCAGGAAAGGTGATGTTTTGTTACAAAATGTACAATTACTACTACCACAAATCACCTTCACAGCACTGCTGGGTTAATCAAGCCTTATGCAGTGTTATTTGGAATTGAAATTTATATAGTCAGGTTTCATTTTGTTTTTCTTCATGTCCATGATCTCTTCATTCTCTGAACACAGATACCCCAGTGTCTTTAGTTATCATCAGATCAAACATATATTTTGATTTGTATTGAATGGAACAATCATAACATTATTATGTTATTACTGTGTTCTTTATTATGATTGTTGTTACTCTTGATATTCTTAGTCATTTCTACGTTTATGCAGTCCACCAGCAGTAGAATAGCATATAGTTTGTTTTCCTGTCTACAAACTATTTGTTAACACTTGGTTTTAAGTCTTTGCATTTTAACCTATTAACTTGTTTATTTTACTCCAATATAATATCTTTCTCACTTTTTAGTTCTTATGCTTCTGGGAAAATTTCTTTTAAGGCATCACTATTAATACTAAAAATACTTTCCTTGTAGATATCTGGAGCTTTGATCAACATCTTCGTATCAGAATTGGCTAATGGAATGTTCAAGTTCATTCCAGTGGTCGTGTTCATTTCTGCTCTACCATTGTTAATGAACAAATGGCTTCAAGAATCACAGGATTCATTCTTTCAGTAGAACAATTTTTATCTACTGGGTGCTGATTGATGCAGGTTTAGCATTGAACATCTTACAATTGGACAAAAACTTATCTATTAATCAGTGAATTAGACTGATGTCTGAAATGGATCTTAACAATGAGTAGTTATCTGTAGAACTCACTCAACTCCGATGAACTCTGTATGAGCTATGATTGACTGAGTCATGATTTAAAAAACGCTTTGGAAGGAGCAGCCACCATAATCAATTGATCTCAGCTCTTTCAACTTGAAGAAAGGTAGAGAGACTTCCAAATTCCTGAAGTGGACAACTCATCGCAAACCATCTTCTGTTGCAAGTTCTGTTTTTCTAGAAGATGAATGCTGACAGAGTATATATTAAGTTCATCTGACAAAAAATAAAATGCCAGTAAGTTGTTCTCTGTCCGGTATATCTTTTACCAGCAATCCTATTAATCTCAGAACTAAAATTATTTTGCCTTTAAGATGCAACTAGAAATTCTCTGCCATCACTAAGTTGATGAGTATTGTTTTGTTACTTCAAGATACAGTGCCTAGCGCTAGATGCTTGTTGGTACTGGAATTGTCATGCAATATCGTCATGTCATGCAATATCGTTACTTCAATATGTGTTTGCTTAATTATTTATTTATGGGATTTTTCTCGGACATAATGATGTGATCCTGCATGCAGGTACTAATTTTGTATTATGTTTTGGTTCAATGGTCAGAGTCGAAGCATGAGTCCTGGATAAGGTGTTTTTGAAACCTATTCAGCTAAACATATGGATATGTTTTCATGATTTTGATCGTTTCAGAAGATGATCGTGCGGCTCTAAGCTTGCTAGTGATGATGTGTGGCCTTCAACACCTGCCATCAGAATCTTATCCATCTGATTGTATCCATCACTGAAGATTGTTTTCCTATTGTTTGTACTATTCATTAAACTAAAACTAATATAAACTGTTTATTTCACAGTTTCAGTTTTGAAGCCGAGGTTTCATATCGCCATCGGAGGTAATTTGTTCTTTCTTGCTTGTAATACTACTCTAGTTTGTCTCTGAAATCCTCCAGCCTGTAGTAACCTGGAAATTCCAAGCTAAATTGAATTCTGAACTACAGAATGTCTTACATTTATGAATCCGACAGGCATGAGTAGCTACAGAAATATGAATCCAACCAGCAGCTTTGTGGGAGGATGGAATTGGACGCAAAATCCTGTAAGTCATGCTTGTGGCCTGAATACTACTAAAAGCACATTTAATCTAATTGTTGTGTTTCCGTATCTTTCGTTACTTATTCTTAATCTCCAGAACTGGTTTTTTAAGTTTTGGTAATAATACAGCTGCTTAGATTAGCTAACACCACCAAACCATGTGAATGACTAGAAGCATGCCAATTTAAGGTTAAGCCAGTCGAAGAGACATCCTACATGGTAAGCTAGTTGAAGAAGTCTGTCAACTTAATCCTACATGCAAAGAAGCAAACTGTTTTGCTTCTCTAAGAACCCTGCAAGTGTCCTCTTCTTTCTTCCTCTAGAATTTTCTGTGTTCCTATGAGATTGCATGATCCTTCAATGAGTAGATGTGTTCTTGAGACGATCTATTGATTGGAGGAACGTTGCTGTCCATGCATTTATTAGTGTGGATGCCGAAATCAGTCTACGTAGATTACCTGGCCCTACCAACAGAAAGTTCATGCCCCCACCCACACACCACAAACAATAGTCCAATTAATTGGGACCTACGTTCAGTTCTGTCGTTGAACAGATAGACGTATATATATAAAATGTGGCCTTCCACATTAAAATACACTTTATCGAAGCAAAAGATATCATTGTTTATAAGCGTCTTAGGTATGCATGTAGCAGCAATATGGGTACCGAAGAATGCAGTAATGGGGCATATATAGCCCGAACTTGGAAGACTTTGTCTGCTGCAATTAAGTAGATCACCGCCATCCAAAGAAGGCCTGACCTCAGTCTGATTGCTTAGTGTTGCTGGAGGCAGAATTACTTGCGTAGTTCCTGAGTCCTGACCTCAGCTCCTCAAGATTTACCCCATCATCCACCAGAATGCTTGTTACCCCCATTTTGGAAACCTGAGATGCTGATAAGAGCTCAGAATATGGGGAAAACAAATCAAAATAGGAGCATGTCCCCTGCTAAATTACACTTTTCCTCCTCTCCTTAACATATATTGCAGAAACTTGAACAACCCTAAGGGTCCTTTTGTCGATCAATCAATCAATCGGATTAATTTAACACATTTCTAATGGTATAGTTTTTTTTTTTATAAAAAAAAAACACCTCTCTACCTCAGCATGGTTAAATATGCATGGCAAGTTGTATTTCGATACCAAAAGATAAATTCTATATGCATATGCAAGTGGCAGGGAAGGATTATGAGGAAGAGATGAGAAGAATAAATGAGAAATATAATAAGGGAGAAGAAGAACAGCAGGGTGGAGGAAGTGAAGTGAAAAAGAGGATGATATAGTCAGCTGACTATTTATCTCATTAGATAATGGAGCTTTACACCAAGGGGTGAAATGCAATCTTTAGAAAATACAAAGGGCTTATATGTGGTTATAAATAAGGGCATGTGTAAAGCTTCATATTGAAAAATGGATAAATGCAAAATGATATTATCTCAAAATTCTATTGGAAATAAGAACAAGAAAGGATGACGATACTTTCTCAAAATTTCCTCCAAATTGGTGGGTTTATCTTTAGGACATCACTCCAGTGTGTCCACTACGTTACTGGATCTTTTACGATAAAAGGAACATCGGGTATCCAGTAGTGATTGACTTGAAAAACATAATGAAATAAAGAGAGACTGAAGAAAAGAATAAGAGAAGTTACTGCTTCAATATTCCTGTCTTCATCATCAAAGAAGAGCATTGATTTGAAAGGTATGCCTGTTCTGCGATGAATTCTCTGTAAGTGCTCGGTCTTATGAGTCCAACTGGAGAATATTTCCTGAGTCATCATAAAATCAGTGACATGATGTAACAGGCAAAGACAAGAATCACTGTTTCAAGCATATGGAAACTGCACTTAGTTTAAGAACCACACTTGTTAGCATTTTGCTTGATACAGAGTTGCAGATACACATTGATGCATAAGCAAACATACTAGATGTTGAAATTTAAAATCAGGTTTGCTCTTACGTTCAAGATAATGCCAAAATTGCACAGACATCATCTGTAGAAAGAATTATAGAGAGTTGTAGGTCTGTGATGATTCAGGGTATGTACACATAAATTGCAATAGTTTGCAGGCTATGAAGGTACACCTTAGCTCAAAGAATCGACACAAAGATAATTAGCTCTCTTTTAAGGAGGCAATCAATGTATGTGCAACAAAATCACCAGCAGCACTTTTGGGTATGTAGTATACAACCAAAACCTAAAAAAATAATAAAGAAGAGTTTGAAGAAAGAAAGATATCCTACTACCAAAAAATTTAGAAGTCAACAATAACCCAGGAAACAAGTTAACATAAATAGAATGATTTAGTTTTATCTCTAGAACAATGTTTGTATCCTCGAAGAGAAATCTTCACGTAAGCATGCCTTCCAGAATGGAAAAATTCAAAACTTATATGAACTTTGCAATATATAACAAGTGCTTATGAGAGAATGCTTGTCATGCACATCTGTACATAGTCATATGATATGTAGATGTGAATGCATAAAGCAAGTTTTTTGACCAGCATACCTTGGCTACAAACATAGACTGGATACCCAACTTATCAAGAAATGTTTTTGCTATGTCAGAAGTTGGTGATCGAGAAGCAATTGCAACATCTATTCCTTTATCCTTTAGAGCATACAATATGCCCTTAGCATGTGGATAAAGAGATGGCATTTCCCTTTTCGACCTGCATTCACTGGAAAAGAAAGACCAAATATCAAACGTAACACATATGATCATCAATAAAATGGAAATTAAGAAGAAACCAAGCATTTCTACCGTATTGTAACTTTAACATGCACTGCAATGCCTACCTTTTTTTTTAAAATGATTTCGTGCATGATGCTGGATGGCATATCAAAGAACCAAGGACACCAAACGCCTTCCTAATGCACAACTAGCAGCATCCATCATAATCATAGTGTTAAGGACTACCTTTCATCTTCTTAGTACATAACTAGCAGCATCTAATAATAATCATAGTGTTGAAGACTACCTTTCTTGCAACATGGTAGTTCAAATAAAGAGGGCGTGAAAGAGGGAGTTCAAATAAAGACTACATTTCACATTCTGACATAGTTTAGAAAATGTTAGTGGAGTCATTAATATACTATACTGCCTGTGGTCGTCTTGCTTCAATGTGAAGCTGAGAAGGAAAATGCATCTTCAAAATCAGCTTATTGACTAAATTATCCGGATTGCATTGATTTTGTTGAATGGATCCTTTCAAATAAACTTGTGAGTCCATCATAGTTTATGATGTCTAATTTAACTAAAATATAAAGTTGTCACAAAAATATGAAAATACACTTTGTTACACCAAGAGAAAATGATTATACAAGTTCAAAAAGGAGTCAGCTAGTTATCAGTGTGTGTAGACTACAACAAGCACAAAATAGTATGAAAACACCAAAATAAGAGAGTATAAGTAGATTAGAACTGCCATAACAAAAACCAAAGTGACTATATCACAAGACAGAGCACAGTTAAAGAGGAACTATGTCCAGACAAAACAGGGGATGGGTATACTTGCTGGAGAAAGAAGATTGATGTGAATATTCATGAACAAAAAAAAAAGGATGTGAAGGAAAAGGATGGTCAATATGAAGTTTTTCTTGTCATGAAGAGCGGCTCTAGTGTCTACCAACTCTTTAAGAGCAAATAGAAGACAACTCTCCCGGTACCAAGCTTCTGAAGAAAAAAAGGTCAAAGGAAGAAGATCATTAGATCAAGTCAGAGGTGGAAAAAAGAAATCTACATGCTATTTACCTAACTCCTATTAAAGCTGAAAAAGTCACCTTTTAATGAAGACAAAAGACCTATTACAGAACAGCTAAAGGTTAATAAAACTAATTTTTCATCTTCTGAGGAAAACAGAAAAAAAAAGTACAAAGCCAAACAAATCCCCAGTCGAAAGTGGTATGATACACAACGTAGATACCCCTTTCCCAATGCCAGTAGGGTTAAGAGCAAATAATCACCAAGTGATCACTAATTTTATAGGTTTCCCAAACAAAAATTGGACCTTTCCTCCCACCACCAGCGTTAGATAACTCTCCTGACCTAATCAATGCTTTTCTAAATCTCTTTTGGAGATGCACACGAGGACTGTAAGTAGTCACCTAGTTTCATCCACTCAGGTATAGAATCAAACTGCATGGCGAAGCCATATCTATATTACAAGACAACAATTTCGGACATCTTGGCTCAATCTAAATTTTCTTTACATGCCCACTAAATTTCATTGACACTCATAATTTTTTTTCCTATTTTATGCTTTACTACATCTGTAAACACAATCAAATTTCCGTTGATACGTTCGCATTTCAAATGTCATTCTTATTTGAATGAACCTTCACAGTTACCGTTTTTCCCTTTCTACCTTCGTGTTTGCACAACATATGTCATAGAAATCAGAAAAATACAATTGAAAGTTCGAGCTTTGTTTGCAACGAATCATCAAGACTATCCAATCCAAATCTCCTACCCACTTGTCAAGGTGATTTCCATGACCACCGGAGTAATCTGTTTCAAGCATCTTAGGCCGGAGAGTTGCAAGAGGGAGCAAGCAAAACCCTAACCCTAGGAAATCCGTGAAAACGACGAGATCTTGATTGGGGATCAGAATGCTCACCAGTAGAAAGGCCAGAGGGTGTAATCGAGATCGAAGACGACCAATTTGGGAAGCACTGGGAAGAGTCCCAGCATCCGGAGAGCCTCCTCCTTCACCCTGTCGTCCCCCATTCCGAACCCCGCACCCGGGAAGATGGGAGTCGCACCGTCTTCTCGATGTCTTCTTATGGGTCGAAGCCACGACGCTTGTCATCACGGATTCAAGTCTGGCGTCCCCAACAATTAGACCCTAGTTTCTTTTGCTCTGCTGTGGGTCCGCCTTGTCCGTGGACCCCACATCTTCTCCCACAGTGAAGAGAACCAACGTGTCAACGGAGTTTGGTACGTGTCATCGACATCCTCCGCTGATGCGTCACTAGACCGTGCTACTTCTCCCTAGTACGCGTCGCTTTCTTATGGGTCCCACATACGGCCCACGGACGCCACTGACCTTAGAGGCAGGTACATCGGCGGTGGGTGGGTAACGGAGGTCCACTTCTCGTTTGGATGCTCGACGCGTGGACCTCCTTACTCGTGCTGATTGATTCTCACAGGTGAGAATTCACCACGCCTCCTGTGGAGCCCATCCTTCTGACCAATGGTACGACGAGTTTTACTGTAGGTGCCAGAGTGAAGTGCTGCAAACCATGTCTCTTCGCAGACATAAATTTCTGAAGGGGGAATTACTGAAAAAAGATTTTACTTTTCTAATTTTAAAAAAAAAAAGTGATCCTATTTTAAAATTTTTGAAACAGTGATTTTTTTTTTTTTCAAAATAACAATTCTATCGTTCTATCGATCACCTGCTCGGCCTTTACTTCCACTCAGCTCAACTTGATCTTATTGTCACCTTCGTCAAAAACCTAATAGCTTATGACGATATTGCTCATCCAAAATTCACAAGGAGCGACCCCACATATGGCAGATAGGGGCTACTAGCCCTTGCACAAGGTTGTATTCGGGTGGCTAACTCTAGTGCCATGGTTATGAGTGGCGATGGGTCGAATGAAATGAGGGGTAAAATGATCATTTAATTATGTTGCTATCAAACTTTTCAAAATAAAAATATGAATTTTTCTAAAAAAATATGAGTATTTTTTAGATATTTGCCCAATCATAAATATCATATATAAACCAGAAGATAGTTGTAACGAGACCGTCTTATATGATCTTCTTTGCCTAATGTTGTGATAATTATAATGAAATTGAATTCATTAACTGTAAGATATTGTTACGCATATTTATAAAGAATATTTCGGTATCACCCCCATAACAACAATCAACAATCACTTTAGAATCGATATAGCATCTCAGAGATGATGTGACGTATACGTGAAGTACAATCTCGAGGCGACGCAGCAAACTCGAAAGCGACATACAATTGAAACCATGTCGCTCGGGATTATATAAAAGCGTCCCCACATGATGCGGAACCAGAAGAGTCAGCCCGTGCCATCCAAAGCAGACGAACCGATCGTAGAGTATCAGCGATCATTAACAATTTACATATAATTGACCATTGAGGAGAGATATAAACATCGATCTTCTAGCCAATGCCAAGAGGGGGAAGTAGACAGTGGCCTCTCTATTCTCTTATTCACATAGCTCATACTATTGTCTTCCTCCCCTTCTATTTTTCACTAACTTAAGCATCAGAGGGGTCGGGCTAGAAAGCCCTCGACGCAGACCTATTGTGCAAGACCACCGATGACCAAAAGACGACCAAACTACTTGGAGGCGACCTCATGGCCTAAGGGCCACCCGTCTGCTAAGAGATGACTTTGCAGTAGGGAAGATCCCTATTCCTGTACGTGACCTCTTCGTTTCTAAGCCAAGACATATCTAGTGAACCATCTCACCGGTAGACCTCCTATGCTGGCTCACCACATCAACACCCACATGGAAGAGATACCAAAAAAAAGAGTTATACTTTCGACGATAAATCAATCGGCCGACTCACCGGTCAATAATATTCGTAACGCTATCACATGTATTGCTATTCGAGAGACTTCAGAATCCGTTCATCTTTCTGCGTTCACAGTGTAGCTTACAAATGGATTTGGTATTTCGAAGTCAATTCGAAGGGATGAGAAACATGTGATAGCAAAGATGAAAGAGTCACATAGAATTAAAGAAGGACCGTTGACCTCAAAGGCTTTGCATGCATCTGCATCACTCGCTCTCTCATAATACTTTAATTCCGTCGTGTTATCGTTGACATTGCGAGATCAAATACCAAGCGATTAAAGATAACTCCGTGAGCTGAGGCCGATCGGATCGACAGGCAAGCGAGTCTTCCCTTCCCTTCCACAGGACTTGATGAGCAGCAACAGCAATGGCACCAGCTTCGACCCTTACAATGGCAGACCACCGGAGCGCATGAGCGGGCTCGCCTATGGCCTCGGCATATCCGCCGGCATCCTTCTCCTCATAACCACCATAACATTCATGTCCTACTTCTGCACACGGACCACGACCACCGCTGCCGCCACCGCGGCGCGGCCCCGTCGGCCGCCCGACGACGTGGTGGGGCCGGACATGGACGTGGAGGCAGGCCTCGACGAGGCCACGCTGATGAGCTACCCGAAGATCCTCTACTCGCAGGCCAAGCTCGAGGAGCGGAGCACGACGGCGACTTGCTGTTCCATATGCCTCGCCGACTACAAGGACACGGACGTGCTGCGGCTGTTGCCGGAGTGCGGCCACCTCTTCCATCTCGACTGCGTGGATCCATGGCTGAGGTCGCGCCCGACGTGCCCCGTCTGCCGCTCCTCGCCGATTCCCAGTCCCTTGTCGACTCCTCTCGCGGAAGTCGTGCCACTGGCACTAGCACGCCAGCCATAGCCGATGTCTCAAGAACACCAGTCGTTGACGTAGGAATCTTCTCCATGTAATATTCATCTGTGTGCAGATCTCGGCAATGGGTCTATGCCTTTGTGAACAATGCTGGCGTTGACTTTGATCGTAGCAGGTAAAGCAACAAAGACGAGATCAAACAAGCCATCCCCAAAGTGATGATCGGAGGAGCTGCTGTTGAATCAACCCGAAGTGAAGCATTACAGGAAGTGAGCCTCACCTTGTCATCTTCATCATAGTTCTACCTGTCAACTGTTACAGGGATGTGTAAGCTGAGAGAATTGTTCTTGTCGATCTAGTGATTGCTATCGAAGTGGGTGTATTGGAGTCATCGGCATCAGCATTTGAAGGTGTGGTTTGCAAGTTAGTGGCAGTCAGGAGAATGCAGAGGCCCTCTGTTGGCTCTCCAAGAACAGCATTCATTATCCATGTCTTCAATAGAACAAGCAGAATAGCAGCAAATATTTGACTAGTTTTTCTGATAGTTTGATGCTGATAATTATTTATTTGTGAAAACACAATTTGGAGACAATTTCTGACCAAACACAACTTTAATCTAAACTAATTTGAACTGAATTCCTCCAAAATAAACACAACCTAAATATGATCCAAACATCTCATAAAATTCTTTAAGAAAGTATCATCTTGCATTTACAATATGAACAGTGAGCTTTCTTGCATGTACAATAACCCCGGAAACAAAATCACGCGAGTTTAGAAGCATTACATACAGTTGGAAATACTAAAAAGCTCTCTCAATAGCTGAGCAAGTGACTCTACCCACCCAAATATCAACATTTGAACAGCAAGTTAACAGAGAGTTTTGAAAGCGAAAAAGGAAAAAAAATCCTTGCGTAAACGGCAAGGAATCGAGATCTAAACGACCTCAACTTCTAAATTTACAGACGGTGTTAGGAAAAATGCTGCTGCCGGCTCTACTGGCCATGAGAACTCTGCAGCTGACTCTACTGGCCATGAGATATCAGGAGTTACCTCTCTTGTCCATGAAGGCTCAAGATCTGATTCTGTTGGAGAGGAAAATTCAGAATCCCATTCTGCTGAGTACAAAAACGTGACAGTTGATTCTGATGCTGGTCGGAGTTCTGCCGATATCTCTTCGAGTTTCTCAGTGTAATGAAATTCTATCTGAAGACGGTTATGAATTAGTGTAGAAGTTGTCAGTCCTTTCCTTAGATCAATTTGGAGTTCCCTGATTGGAATAGCAGCCAGGAAGCTCTTGATGTACTCCTTGCAGGACTCCTTTCCTTGGCATATAAGCTCATCCTCCAAATTGGGGTTCCTAACCACTAGCTCCCCAGAAAATTCCTCCTTTATTCCATTGTTCTGCTGAATCTGAGTTTCAGAATCCCGTGCCGTGCTGCTGCCAGGTTTGTTTTCATTTTTATGTCTGTGAATCGTTGTGGTGTCATCAAACTTGAGAATGTAAGCTTGGTTGCACCCTTCATGAAGTCTCTCCCCTAGTGTGTCTATAATATAGTAAGCATCACGCTCGACCTTTAGAATGAAAAAGTGATCATTCCAGCTGACAATGTAAAGATGAGGAAAACCATCAGAAGAACCGCCTGATCCAGCTCGCTTGATTTCATCCCATATGTTGTCAAAGGACATTGCCCCGTCTAGGAACTTGAAGCTTTCACTGTCCTCAGTTCCTTCAGGACAAAAGAAGCCCACAAAAGAGTTTGCAGGGACAATAGAAAGTGGTCGAACTTTTGCCTCAAGGACTGTTTCAAGGTCAAAGTGCTTGTCAGGAAAACGTTCCCTGTATGTCTGGTTCTTGCAAAGGGTCCTCCAGTCTAAAGAACCTTCTCGTATGAGGTGGTCAAATTGCGACTTGATGGGCATCATATGGGGATTGGCCTGAAACCAGTCAGCGATAACAGCAACAAGCACAGCGCAAGCACTTTCACCAGATGCTTGCTCACTCCTCTGATCAATTGATGCAAGGAAAGCTTGGGTACAGAGCTTGAAGGAACCGTCACGGCTTACTACCTCCTTCAGTTCCCAGCTTCCTATCGTAAAACTATCATCACCGAAGTCATGTGCTGGTAACCAATTTGCCATTGAAGTGTCATAATGATTCTGTAATGACATGTCAGAGAGTTTCAAACACTCATGATGACGAAAACGGCCGCTTACAGGAAAAGCAAATCACGCATGCATGGATGCTCAAACACATTAAAAACAATCTGAGTCATGAATGAACAAATCATCTTTAGGTTTCAAAACCAAATAGGATGACACACTCCTAAACTTAAAGGAGAACAGGTATGGATCGATTGTATAGACAACACAAAAGAATATCGAAGGAACGTAAACAACTGGGGAAAAAATTGCATCAATTTTCTAAAGTTTAATGTATGCCTCCTCATCATGAATTAAATAAAATATCTTTAGGTTTTAAAACCAAATCGGATGACACTCTTAAATTTAAAGGAGGTGCGGATCAATTGTATAAGCAACACAAAAAAATGAAGAAGAGAAAATACAAGCAGGAAAAAAGTTTTGAATGATTTTTCCGATGTTCAATGTATACCTCCTAATCATGTTAGCACATTGGTTCAATCACTCAAAACACCTAAAAATGAGCTCATAAATCATCTTTCATGTAAACTTTAGGTAATATTAACTATTATATGAAGTATAAGAGTTACTACAGCAAAAAAAATTAAATAATGATAACATACCACCACACAGGTTGATCCTTCTAAAGAGGTAAGCCGACGACGATAAAAATCAATGTCATCCCCACCTTCTTCTCCATATGATTTCTTTAGCAGAGGCTCCCCCTTAAACTTTGGAGATCTCAAGTTAAGCCTACTCTTTTTCCAAGAAAGGATACTTCTCCTTAAAATGTAAGGAACAGGCTGCTCAGATAAAGATGCTGTTGCCTCCTCAACATGTGAATAACTGACATCTGATTTTTCTTGACCGTAGTGAATCAAATTCTCGTAGTCCTTATTTATCAACATGTCGGAGTAAAATGATCCCTCGATGTAGTGTGTAGATGCCAAGGTTCCATAACTAAAAGATTTTCTTTCACTGGAATCATCCTTGCTTCCTCCTAAATCTTTGTGACTATCTTCAAGTGAGTCTGCGTCACATGGGTATGCATCTTCTGCATCATTATTCCTAGGAGAGCACTTCTCTTCACTGTCATAATTATCTTTGCATCCCATTTTTGCTTTTCGACGTAATATTAAAGCTTTAAGTATATTAATTTTTCTCAATCCATCTTTACGAGCAGAAGGCTCGTCGGTCTCGGAAGGGAAAGGACTGGAGGAGGGAGGTGACGAGGGAACTGGAACTATAGAACTCTGCACTACCTCTATTGATTCTCGTACGGTTCTCAATTCCGACAAGCTAAGTGCTAACTGTGACAGAAAGCAATCACAATGTCAGCGTATATGATTCCCAGTGTTGAGAAGGGTAAAGCCTTAGGTAGAATGGCAAAGGATACAAATCCGTGTGCCAAATAGCAATAATTAAAAAAGTTACTAGATAAAAAGATATATATATGAACTTAGATTGTCTTAATTAACAGATGGCTTTATTCGAGCACCTGATTTATTTTAATATTTAGAATGCTGAAAACCAAGGTAAAATCAACAAAGACTAACATACATATAATACTGGATGGGACTCAGTAGTGACACCCGGAGGCAACAGCGTAACATTGATCTCCATCTCTTTTTCTTCAGCAGCTGAAGCAAATTCTGCCAGGTTCAAAGAAGCTGTTCCGATCACAGAGCACTTGTTCCTGGGACCTTTACCCTGAATATTCAAAATTAAAAATATATATGAGCTATCCATAATTGACATTATGTTTTCAGCTTAAGCCTTATAGTTGAATTCTCATGGGGAAAGTAGACTTTCTTTAGAGCAAACACTCGTGGAAGAGAGAAATTAGAAAACTGAAAGGAAGAATGTTGTACACAGATGGAATAGAACAATGAGAACTGACATAGAATTTGGAATTAAACTTTCGATGCTGCATAAACTTGTAGACAGACAGAAATGAAAGGACATATTGTCAATAAAAGTCGACAACGAAAAGTCAACAACAATATTTTAAGCCAAATAAATTGTTTGGTGCCATGTTCCCTCACAAATCCAACAATATTATAAAAAAATGGCTAGAAATAAAGGCTTCATATATGTTTATATACATATCAACAATTCATATTTATACTATTAGATTAGAGTTAGGATGTTCTCACTTAATATCCTTTTGTGTAGCATAACTGGCACAACCTGGCCTAACGAAAATTAAACTCAAATCAAAAGTAGTATTCGCATCAGTCTCTTATAAATCGTCTGAGTCTTCTCCCACTTTTGATGTGAGACTAAATCGGAGTGCTTCTTAGTACCAAATCGCTCTGTGCAGGATTATAGGACAAATTTGCACCATACCTAAGGCAACAGACTTAGAAGTTCCATGAACATGAAAAAAGAAGTTGTATTAAGACCTAAAGAAGGTTTAATCAACTAGGCAATTTTTTTTCTCAGAGTTCTTAATTACTCTAACTATTGTACAAATCTAATAAATTTTCTTGAGAGATTTCTCAAAATCAACCACTTCAACCCAAAAAAATCAACAAGATTGCGGTTTTGACATGGAAATTAATGGATTCATTATTAGCAAAGTACCAACAATATATGTCCAGGCAAAAGTTTACCCACAATCTAATACCAAGATTGATTAAAATAGATTCTTATAAGCGCGATCAAAACCCTAACTCGGAAAACAAAAGGAATCACCAAATTGCACTAAGTTTAGTGTTGACGGGCATAGGAAGCAAAACCATCTGCCTCAATCATAGCAAATTTTCGGGAAGAATCGCAAGCAAGTAACACAAAAGAAAGCTAAAAGAAAGAGAAAGAAACAAGGATTTGGACTCAATACCGTAAAGACAGAGAAGGCGATCTCCCATGGAAGGAAGGCGCCTTTCTCCTTGTGAGCGGTGAGAGTGGCAGCAGTGAGGAACTCCTCGTCCCACTCCACGACGCCCCCTTCCCTCACCTCCTCCTCCCTCGTCCAGTTCCGCCTCACCCGTCCACGCCGCAGCGAGCTGAGCGCCGTCTTCGGCCCCTTCCACCTCACCTCCGCCGCCGCCCTGGCTCCCGTGGCCGCCCCAGCCACCGGCACCCCCTCGATCCTGCGCACAACCACCCGCACCTCGTACTTCTTGGACTGCAGCGGCGGCCACGGCAGCCACCTCATCATCCTCGCCACCATCTCCGCTCGCCGGACGACCTACAGCCAAAGGGCGTATACGGAGATGGATCCTCCCCGGCCGAAGCCGCGCGCCATGGCTTCGTCTTTATAGGAAGGACTTTGCCTCCGATGCCAAGACTCCGGCACAGGAGCAACTAATATTCCGTATGTAAGTTTACCCTTTCACCCTCCTTCTTATGAGAAATGCCCATGTAAACCAAGTAAAAATCCGAGAAAAACCAATAATTATATGGGTATTTTAGGTATAATGGCTTCACTCAATGACCACATCATAATACTTTATCCAACCAAGCATTAACGACCTGCTCCCAATTAAATTGTCGATGACACACACACACACACAATAAATAAGTATTATTATGATTCCAAATCATGCAGGCATGTCATCTAATTTATGAGCACAGACTCTCATAAATTCGAGAGAACGAAGAAGTCAGTCCACCCTCCAAAAGTCTTCCTCGAGCGAACACCATAGTAATGACATCTCTCTCTCTCTCTCTCTAAAACATAGTGTGCATGTTTTCATGGTTTCACATGCAGAGACAGTGACTCATGGATGTTGATGTTACGCTCTGTGCAAGTCTTCGTCTCTTTCGTCTCCTATATGGGACCTGAAGTGCTCCATCCCGCGTTAATGGAATCCCATCTCGTCTTTGAAGCTCGACAGTGGCGTTATCATCTCCTTTCTTCTTCAACAGGAATGGCAGAATGATCAACTCTTAGCTGCAGCACCGAGTCAGCAGAGCTTTAAAAGGTGATGTTGATGATGTTCATATCCTTTTATCGTTATTAATATCATTATTATTATTATCATTTTGATGTCATAATATATTTATTTTTTTAAAAAAATAATTTATCAAAAAATTATTTAAGATGATACGAACATATTAAAAAAAGATCGGATAAAAAATATGATAATAATTATTTTAATAGAATGAAAGGACATAAAAAGGATGGCATATTATTTTTAGAATAGTATTATTTATCTTTTTCCGAGTAGATAAATGATATATATATATATATATATATATATATATATATATATATATATATATATATATATATATATATATATATATATATATATATTGTTGTCGCAGATAAATGAAGCTTTTGGAGTGCGTAGCTCAAGAAACATATCAGAAATGGTCCACATGTATGTTATCCTAGTGTGGGTAAGATGGCCCTGCATATTAAATTTAATTAGTCTGTTTATTAATCAGAAACTATTCTAAATATTAAGTGGATAATGGGCACAGTTGAATTCAAGCATTTTATTTGTCCTTGGTACCTGTTGCAAAAATAAAAATAAAAAAATACTATGTAGAATCTAGACGAAAAACATCTCCCGAAATAAAAATACTATGCTCTTGGGGTATTAATTATATAAATACAGAAGTCCAGCGAGGTTTCTCAAATCGATCCCTCTAATGCTCAAGTAAGTTAGTCCTGAGATTAATTTTTACGATGTATATGTTCTCGCTGATATCCTTGTTAGCCTAATATGGCCTTGATTCATATGCGTAGAGTCATTTGAGGCAAAAAGCGTCTCCTTTGGAGATAAAATATTATGCTTCTGAGGTGAAAATACTATGCTCCTACAGTGTTGTTACCTACATAAAAACTGAAGTTTTGGGGCTCGAGCTAGAGGAAGAAAGTTTGTGATATACTTCTTTCTCATGAAGAAAGAGAATGGAATTTAGGATTGTCATTTTACATAAAGGAAGAGAAAGGAGTTTAAGATTGTTTTCCTTATAGAGAGAAAAAGTTTGTGATTGTTTTCTTTACCATAACGAACGAGAAGAAAGTTTGTTTTTCTCTGCTTTAAATCTTTGTACATATAAATATATGAAGGATGACTTGAATAACATATGATAACCACGTATCAACTATTAGTAAATTTCCTATCATTTGTCCCCTTATAAAGGCGTGTTTCGAGACTCTTAAAAAAGTATTGGTACCTTCTCATAGACAGTGCCAAAAATATTGAGGAAAAATATCATTGACGTCCTAGTCAGCTTGATGTGGTACTAATCCGTATGCATAGAGTTGTCCTAAGTGAAATGAACCTCTTCTTAAGATGAAAATACTGTACTCTCAAGATGAAAATTTTGTGCTCCCAAAGTGTTACCTATACAAAGATCGAAGTCAGAAAAGATTTCTTAAGCTAATCTCTCTGATGTTCAAGTTAGTAATCCAAGATTCCTAAATATGAGCTCGAATAGTTCGAGAAAAGTGAGAGTCATTTCCCTTTTCCTATTTAGGATGTGTTTTTATATTTTAAAAATATCTTTTTTTATCTTGAAAGAGAGGAAGAAAGTTTGTAATATCTTTTGCCTTCCTTGTTATAAAAAAAAGAGAATACAATTTAGGATTGTCTTCCTTATCATTAAGAAAGAAAATAAAATTTCTAATTGTTTTTATTGTCATAATGAACGAGAATGAAGCTTGTATTTTTTGTTTTGAATCTTTGTACATGTATAAGCAGATGGAGGATAACTTGGCTGACACATGGTGACCTGCGTCAACTATTGATGAATTTTCTATCATTATCCCCTTCTGAAAGCATGATTCGAGGCTGTTGAAAAAAATATTAGTGTTTTCATCATCAAGAACACATGGACCTCTATGATACTTTTTCCAGCACTATCCAACTTAGGCTTTCCTAAAATAAAAAAAATCTCAAAGTTTTTTTTTAAACGATTGCTTGCTTTTTTAAATTTTATTTTCGTAAACCATCTATTAATTTTTTAAAATATAAAATTATCCTTAGCCTCAACCATCACCTCTATCGGAGCAGGAGGTGAAAGACAAGCATAAAGTCTTCGAGGGAATGCTCTACGATAACAATATAAAAAGTCTTCACGACAGGACGGGGTAACAATGAGGGGTTTACATATACCACGACAGGATAAAATTGATAAATACCGATGAGAGATGGAGGCACTTACGACTAAGATAAAAATAAAAATTATAATCAAAATAAGAGACGCTCTACAAAATTTGATGACAATCAATAGGAGAGAGATGAGAGATAATCTCATCTTTTAGAAAAATAAAAATAAATAACATTCTATTTTACGAAAATAAAATAAAAATTTAAAGATTTTTTGTAGAAAATTATCCAAAACTATATTAAGATTAGAAGCGCATGCCACCATCTCCTCTCCTTATGTAGTTTTGCAAAATTTGCCAACAGCGACCCGATTGTTCTTAAGAAAAAAAATAAATAAATAACCTCATACTCCTCAAAAGAGTTTCTGAGCTTAACAATATCAGCAATTACTTTTAAAAATAATTAGTTCTAGAAAGACAAACCACATGCGATATTCAAAATGACAAACAACATTTTATTCTCCCTAACAATCCAAAAGATAACCATTTTTCATAAAATTTTAGTTAAGGAAAAAAAAATTCTTATTCCATTTTTTTCATTACTAAAATGGTTTAATAGTTTATTAGAACAGTGCATAGTCTTTTTTTAAAATTAATTTGGGGAGTAAAATTAGTAATACTTTTTTATTTGTTCTTATCTATGAGTTACTATATATATATATATATATATATATATATATATATATATATATATATATATATATAATGATAAACTAAACTAAACTAATATCTTTAAAAATATATAAGATGAAATTTCAAACTTTTGACCTTTAATTTTTTTTATAATTTTTTTTTTAAATTAGTCTGATAAACCATCATCAGATTAATATTCAAAGTGATTCAAATTTAGTGAAAGGAATACTATCTTAGAATAATATACATAGAGAATAATTAAAGTAAACTGACTTATAAGTTTGACTAGCATATCATAATCATCCTTTCACTTTCAATATAAGCATTAGGTGCATTATAAATTAGGCCATTAACCAATTCACACAAGCCACAAGGAGTGTTCATGCTAAGTCAAGTCAATCTTTAATAGATCATAATATATCATCACATTAATTGGTCCAAGCATGGCCTTCTCCTTTCCCATTACCAACCCAAACTTGTGGTTCCACTCCTTGCCTTGTGTTCCCTGTATTGTGTCCTCTCTTCTCAAGTCAAAATTATCATTTTATGTGTCAAAATACACTATTGTTTCTACGGAGCTTCTTTTCTTGATTTAGTGGAGCTCCTTTTCTTGATTTAATTGACTCATGAATCTTTAATTTGGGAAAAACGGAGTTTTCTTCTTGTCGGTGAACTGATGCATTGTGGTCAATGGGTCAGCACGGCTTGGTCCACGAGTCGATGTCGAGAGTTCATGATCGGTTGGTAGAAGTGTTGAAGCTGATTGTATCAGGAAGTCAGGACACTTACGCCATTTGAGAAAAAGCATCTTGGTTGGGACATTGGCGCCGTTAGTGGGAAGGCGTCTCTCGGTCGAGACACTGACACCATCTTCCAGGAAGGCATCTCCTGGTCGGGGCACTGACACTGTCTTCCGAGAAGGCGTCTCTTGGTCGGGGCGATCGTGCTTCTGGAAGTGGTCGAGCTCCTGCACATAATGCTCTCATCAGGGGAGTTTCCGACTTTGGCCCCTCGTAGATTAAGTTAGTGGTTACCTCTTTTTCCCTTTTTCTCTTTTTTGTTTCCCCCGACGAGATGCCGGTCAGGGGCTTTAATACTATTGCATGAGGATCGATTGTATGTGGATTCGGTGCGATGATCGATCCTTGAATGACGAGATGGTATCTTTGTGCGATCGTCGCCCGGAATGCACGGGATGACGTCAAACGGCGCCGTCTTGAGCTTTCTGAGATGGGACTTGTTGAGGGGCGCCTCTTGGTACCGGTTTCGACTCGACGTGGGAAAGTACCCCCTCGTGCTGACTTGGCAGGGGTATGATGCAGCGTGGAAAAGTTCAAAATATGTCTTATCACTCCCTATAAGGCATTTTCACTGAGTTGATGGTTTTGAAATTTATATGCTCATGCAATTATGGGTGCATATATGCCATTATTAATTTTGCATAAAATCACTAAAAACTATAAGCATTAATAATAATAGTAATTTCAGTAAAAATAATAAATTCTTACATATAAATAATTATAAAGTCTTTTTTTTTCTTCTTCTTCTTCTATTCTTTCTTTGCACCCAACAGTATCTTGTTGCTTCAAGATTCGCATTTTCTGTTCTTCATCATCTGATGTTGATCCTGATTCTGGTTTCAAATCCAGGCGGCTCTTCCGGTCCCCTCTTCCTGAATCGATAACAAACACCTCCCTCCCTCGCTCTCGCTTCCGCCGCCGACGATCGGCAATGGAAGCGGCCGACCTCGTTCCTTTCCTCGACGCTGATCGCGTTCTCGCTCCCCGATTCTTGACGTCGCCTGGGATGCGGATGCGTTCTTACCGTGGTTTGCTTCTGTTTAGGCGGTGGGGAAAGGTGCAAGAATCCGATCGGGAGACGGTGAAAACACTGGTGGCCGTCCATCGACGACCTTTGACCACGATTGGACCGAATCCGATCTTGTCTTCAGCTTTCAGCGTGGCAGCGATTCGAGCCAGGTTGATGTTGAGGCCGAAGGGGTTTCTAGCTGCAGCTAATCGGCCGCGATATGCGGCCGCGGGCCATCAGATGGTGTTGCTGCAGAAGCACGGTATCTTTTTCCCTTTCTTGTTATTCGATCAAATGCGTGCCGCTTGATATGATATGCCTTTTCCCCCTTTAATCCTAATAATGTGTCGTCAACCTCTCGATGTTTCTCTATTGTTTATTTTATTTGTCACATACAACAGAGTCTATGAGTTGTTCTTTCAATTGGTTAATCTAAATGTGAGTGCATTATGTTATTTGAACTACTGCAAATGAACACATACTGAGCAATTATTTTCTTAGTTATGTATGATAGGATAGGAATGATGATGCTAATTGGAAATGAAGAATAGTGGAAGCTCATGTTCATGGGAAGACTCTGCAGATGGTGAGAGCCATCTTGCTATGATATCATATAGACTATAAACTATTTGTGTTCTTATTTGAAGATAGTTGGATGCTTTTGCTGCACAGCTAGAAATCATTAGTTAGCTCAATCATGTTATGATTTTGGATTTCTAGCTATCCATGCAATTGTTATATTTGTCAAAACGATTATCTAACTGTAATGCTCTTATTGTTTCGCGTTGATTGCGTCATCCATTGCTCTGTAGTTGACCTAATGTGCTCTGGATTTTGACAAGTTCTATATAAAGGCTCTCGGTCTATCACATATGCTTTCCTTTGAACAAACTGTAAATATAACCACAGGGAGAAGTCCATGATTGCAGCTTTCTTCTTCTTAAGCTAATTAAGAGTTTGGGAATTTGATGCCGAGGAAACCATATAGTGCCTGTTAAAAAACCAGGGTTGGTGTATTAATGCCTTGAAACTGCTTGGATTTGAATATATGTTATGTGACCTATGGTAGTGAAGAAAAATAATTGTATCATGCCTTTTAATCTGAATACTGATTATAATTGGATATCACACTCAAAGAATTTAGTTTGCAAATCATTTTATTCACAAATTTTAGCTTGCATTGTCAAATATAACAAATTCTAAATTGCCATAATTTTTAGTATAACTGTCTCTCTTCCTCTTATATAGTGGTTTGCGCTTTGCAAAGGAATGTTAGTGTCATGTTGCATGCTCAAGCATATGGCACCTATATAATAATCAAACTGTATCATGGTAGAACTAAGATGATCTTTTTCTTGAGGTTAGAAGGAAATTGTTTCAACTTCTCGTATGTTTGACTTGTTTCCTTGAATGCTTAAGATTGATATGCCTATTCATGGCAGATATAAGCTACTTTCTCATTATTGTCTGCGCATCTCTCTTGTCGGTAACAATGAAAGAACTCAAACTCGACGGCTTGGTAGGAGTTGCTCTTGGTCAAGTACACGTGATGGCCCAACTCTCCTGGATGGGATTTGTCGATGTGATTGATTGGTATATAAAATTGAATGTGCCGACTATTAGTTACTTGGTGTAGGTATACTCTGCAATGTGATTAAGACCTACTTACAAGTAATTAGTGGATCTATTGGATCATGACATTAGTATTAGAGGGACTTAGGGTCTGGAAATGTAGCTTGCTTCTTTGGGGGAAGACTTGAAACATGGAACACCACTTACATTTCAGGTTTCATAGGCTTCATCCCCATTTTTAATCTTTTTTTGCTTCAATATGTCTCTCTATGGAAAAATTCATTGACTAGAAATTTGTTGACTCAGCTATTGGCTTTTTCTTTGTGTTCTGTGTTCTTTCCACTAACACCTCAAGTCATGATGAGTTTAGCACTTAATTTTCTTACATCTCCATTTGTAGTCTTTTTTTTATAATTCATCGCTATGAAAAAAAAATCATTAACTAGAAATTCATTAAATCATCTTTTGGCTTAAGCTATGATGACTTTAGCACCAATTTTTTTGCACTCTTTCGGCTTTTTTATTTCACCAACCATGCTTCCTGGCCCCTATTACTTTTTGCCAAGCTGCCTCATCCAAGGTAATTTGACAACCATAAAATAGTTCATCTTTTGGGAAATTTCTATACTTATTATAAGCAACAGTTACACATTTGAATCCATGCTGAGAGATGATGCACATACGAGCTTCGATGATCAGACCGTAAAGCAAAATAGCATGAAGTATTTTTTGGTAGGCAGTCACTGTTCCAGTGCTTTGGGTATGGGGAGGTGAACTCACGATAAGGTGAAACCCAGAAACCCAAATCCTTCTGCAGCCATGAAATAGTAGTCTATTCCTTTTTTTATCTGGACTAACAAAGTTATTTCCTTGCTGTAGCTTTGAAGCAAGAAAGCTGGTTGTCTGCCGGAAGAGACGGTCACATGGTAAATAGACACTGAACCTGTTCCCGGTTACTCAAATTCCAATGAAATGTTACAATTGACATGGAGTGTAACATCAGAGAGACTGGAGCATACTCTGTTCCCTGGAGCCCCCATGCATCCGAGAGGCCAATAATTTCCAGATGCATCTGTTCAGGCCCGACAACACCGATAAGTTTGAAAGAAATACATGGTCACACCGCAGCGAGAATTTAATTATGTCAGAGTCCTTATCCCGCACTGTTATATGCTGATGCCTGTTATGCTTGACGCCAGGAATATCACGTGGAGTTTGATGAGCTTTCTGGCCCTGTTGCCTTCATCACCTTCCCTGTCACCTGCTTCTACTGTGTCTTCGATCGATGCGGCCACCGACGCGTCGCCCTTTTTTCTTGATTTAGACAATGAATGCGGCTTCTTTGAGATAAGGTGAGTTACTGAAATTTCTTTACCCTGGGGATTCATGATGAGCGAATCAAGCAGAACGATGGTTTGATTCAAATTTCAAAGACCCTGCCTTCACCCACTGTTCTTGTAATTTTATTCGCAGAGGCCTTGTTGGACTGCATACAGTTTGATCCTGTTCCTAGTTTGTCAACATCTCTTAGTGGCCCGATAAACATGTAAGTCTATGATGCATGGTGTTGCAGGACTATGGTAACATCTGAAGGAGGAGCGAGGACTCTGTCCACAACCTCTACCTTATCTACAGATCTCTGAGGTCATGTCATCGCAGAGTTTCTCCTAATAAAAACAATGTGGTAGCCTCTGAAATCTGGAACTCTGCAGTGGCCGTATATGGCACCATTTACCTGCTCCATGTGGTTTCCACAATGCTTGACAGCCATTAGCACAGACCACACTGTAAGTTCACTCGAAACACTTTGCTAACTGTGCTGTAAGTTCATTCCAAAGATACTAACTGTTTGTTTTCTGCTACGGACGAAAACATTTTCTGTTTCCAAAGACGGGGACTGATCTTAAAGGTTGCCATATATTGGAAGAAAAATGAAGTCTCATCTGTTCTGTCAATAATTGCAAACAGATCTGTGGAGCCAAGACATCTAATCTGATGGGACATCTCATAAGTAGAAGCATATGCTTGTCAGTAGTATCAGTTTGTTCTATATATTCTCTTTCCCCAGCAGCTTCAACATGATATATGGTGGTGGGGACGTTAGTCCAAAAAAAGAAATATGTGCCAATAATGCATATATCTCTGATGTGTATAAGCTTGACTAGGTCCTAAATCAGTCTGTTTGCTAACATGGGAGACGGCATCAGAGGAAAGCAGAACACAAAATAAGAACAAGGTGGTGTGGAAGCTTAGCAGATCAAAAACCTGCAATTGGAAATGAGTGGTGAAAGCTTTTTGATGCCTCGGTGAGCTGTTCAAAATGTCACTGTCGAAAGGTATTTAGCAAAATCTTGCTATTTGTTTTGCACGTAATTTTGGACTGTAGCTACGAAAAGTCTTTCTGGTCCGGCGTGCTGGAGTGGTAGTCTGAATGAATTATTTTGTTTCCTTGTAGTGGTAATTGAAATCAATCGAAGTGATGGACTTGAATTCCTCACTGCTTGATGGGAGTGAATATGGTTGCATGCTCGAATTTTTACTACAACAATAATTATTGATAAGAGTATAAAAAAAACACATTAAATTGGCAATGAGGTGAGTGTGGATCAGCAAAATCTATAGATGTATTGGGTTCTGTCGTAATAATTTCTAGAATTACTGGACACCCATTTTAAATATTTATTAAACTAAGAAAAAGTAAGAATGTCTAAAATGACAATTAGGTTTTTTCTCATTGGAGAAAATCTATCCATTTAAAATAATTTTCAAATGAATTTATGAATCAATTTATTTATTTTTAATAATATAAACAGCTTGACATCAATGGGAATAATTTTCAGATTTAGAACAATCAGCTCTGCTGGTGGACTGCTAATAACCCATTGGAGTTGATGATATTTCATGAGCAATTTTCCGAATGAGATTTCTATCTTTCTGCACACTGCCTCCAAAGTGTCCATCAAACTGTTCTCTGTGGTTATCCATCCTTGGTGCCATTTTGATCTATGGTGATTTACCGCTTCTTCTCTGCTTGTTTACATTCCTTTGCTATCATCACATGTCGGAGCTACAGGAAGAGAGAAAGAGAGAGCAGCAGATTCCCACCCACCCGTTCCCTCTCATCATAACATCCCTTCTGACGCATCTGCCACACTCTCTCATTCGACAGCCAACTCAACCTGCACCCTGTGCATCGATCACTCCTTTACCATATACCCAATTTGGAGAGATCCAACCCTGGCCTTCTCCTTTCTTTTCCTTCCCGTGAATGCAAAGAAAGGCTGAAGAACTCTTCTGAGTGATCCTACAGACGATCTCCGCCCCTCTCGTAGCATATGCCCCAAGATCCCCCAGCCTCAGCGATCGGAGATGTCGGACCATGTCTTGCCTGAGCAAGTTTGCTACGTCAATTGCAGCTTCTGCAACACTACTCTACTGGTATACGTTGCACCTCTCTCTCTCTCTCTCTCTCTCGAAGTTTCTAGTGGTACTACATGTCTAGGCATCGGACTAGTTGTTGCTCAACCATCTCACAAAGTAATGAATCGAGTTGCCAAGTCCATCTCGATGAACATTCTTCTTCCTTCGAGATGCCTTTTGAGTTCTTCGCACTATCCTGAAGGGGTCAATCAACACAGAACTGAACCAGAAATCTACCTAAATCATCTGAAACCCTAAGTCGAGTGTGGATATTGCTCTCTCTTTGCTTCTTCCATTTCCTGTGGCAGGAGACGCCCGCCGTCTTGCCAGTTCACCACCGCAAAGCTCCTTTCGTTAACAGCTCTCTCGCCACCACCGGATCACCGTACAAACTGTTCTTGTCACTGCTTGAAGCTGAATGTTATTTGTCTCATCTTTGCCACTTCTAATTACTAATCAGAACAGTTGGGAACTTCTTCCGATGTAAGATCGACACAAACACTGGAAGTCAGTCAGTGTTGCTTTTCTTTGTTGACGCAGGTTAATGTCCCCGGAAGCAACTCATCCAATGTTGTGGCAGTGAGATGTGAACTTTGTGCTAATCTACTGTCCGTGAATCTGCTGGAAGCATTGCTCGGAAAACTCCCACTTCAGAGTCTTCAGGTTGAAATCCTCCCTTCTTTTCTTGATTTCAAGAGTACTCTTCCACTGATATTGAATTGAATTTTCACTGACAAGATCTCTATGACATCAACACCTTGTTCTTGTTTGTGCATATATCGAACTCGAATCGAGTGTAAATGACAATTTAGACACTTGGAGACGAATAAAACTTGACAACAAGGGTTGACTTTTGCATGTTCGCAGAGCACCTCATCAAGTCTGCATGCATACATATACATGCATAACTTGAATGTTAGAACATGGAACCTAAATAAAATCTGACTTGTCTAATTTCAGCTGTTATATGATCGATTTGCTTATATTGATTTGAAACTATCGCTTGACCTATGCCAAAAAAAGATTACATCTCCTATGATTAGCCTTTCTTAGTCTATTACATAACTATTCAATCTCTTCTAACTATAATATCTATATGTTTGCTTAAAACATGTTCATAGTTTTTCCTCATTTTATCTTCAACCGAGATTATGTTTTACTGTAATTTGTTTTTAATGTTTGAGGAATTACTTAAGTGCAGAATCACAACACTGCGACTCGACACCATCGCATGGATTGCGAATCTTCTTCCATATGCACCAGCTTATCAGCAATGAACTCAGTGGACCATGTTCAACAGCAGATGCAGCTCATCCAACGTAAGCTTTTCTGTGACATGTTATTGTTTTACATCTATCTATCTATCTATCTCTAGTTTCTCACACTAACTCCATTTTCTACATGCACACACTCTATTCTCTTATTTCATCTTGTTGAGGTCCCAACCAAAGACTAAGATGACTAACATCAGTGCTCATATACCTGCAAATATGGTGTCTTCTTGCATGTTTACTGTGAGCAGCAACAGAGAAGCGTCGTGTTCCTTCTGCCTATAACAGGTTCATCAAGTAAGTGTCCCTACAAATGTTGCTCGATAATTCGATGTCGTTCTTATTAACGTCGATAACGATGTTTAGATTTCTCCTTTATATAGAGAGGAGATACGTCGGCTGAAGACGAAAAATCCCAACATTAGCCACAAGGAAGCTTTCAGCACGGCAGCCAAAAATGTGAGTATGTGTACATAGAATGCATCAAATATTGATGTTCCAAATGGGGAGCAATGATTTACGTTAGTCTACTCGATTTAAGCAGCAGATTTCATGAAGATTTAGCTACATAAGATAAAGCATCGGAGCATAAATTTCTGCTAACATTGCATTGCAGTGGGCTCATTTCCCGGAAATCCATTGTGGGCTATCGATCAAAGGCAACAAGCAAGTTTAGTTTCGAGGCAATGCTGCCGAGCGAAGCACAGTGTGTGTTCTCGTGGTCTGTTCCAAATGATGTTCTTCTTGTAGACAGACTTAGATCGTCCCTTCTTTTCAATAATCATGCTAGCCTTCATGCAGTTCCATCTTCTGTGCTTTGCTGTCATGGAGAACTAACAGATGACGATGTGAAGGTTGGGCTTGTTTAGCAGATGCCTTCTGTTTGCGACTGCAGGAAATAGAAAGCGGACCATTGCAGGGAAGAGTGCAGTTGGATGAGCTAAATGGCCAGATGAAGAAGGTTTTGCTCCATATAGAAGAAGAGAAAGAAAAGAAGCCAAACCCTATATTAAGATTACACAGTTTGCTATATAATGATAAGAGTATACCATTAGAGAGAAGCAAAAGTATCACTAGCAGTGGATGTTGGAGCAGATTTGGTCATATTTGGGTGTCAAAAAGAATGATCGACATCGTCTTCGTGGGGTTAGAGAACGCGTCATAGAAATCAATTATCATCCTACGGGACTTCTTCGTCTTCGTGCGGTTCCAGACGGGCCATGAACGCCACCTGCGTCCTCCCCGGTGGTGGTAGCTGGAACCCACGTCGATGCCACCTTCCCCACCTCTCGTTCCCACCTACCACCACCCATATAAAGCACCGAAAGCGTCGGTCTCGTCAACGACCAACCTCGCTCTGAAGTCGTATCTGCCACTCAAAATCTTGACCGGTTGACTCCCGCTGCGACAGCTCCAAGGCGTTCGACGCCTACCCTTACATTCTTGACCTCCAAGACTCGGAGATCGCAACCTGCCCGTCTACAATATAATAGAAAACGAGAAGGACCTTCCCCGAGAACACCTCCCGGGGATGCCGTCCCGAGAATGCAAACACCTCCCGGTCGCATGCCGTCCGGAGACACCTCCCGGTCGCATGCCGTCCGGAGACACAACTTTATGCTTCTTTTCATTCTTTTAATGGTATTTTACATATCTACCCTTGGCAAGGTAAAAAAAAAACATTTTCCTCTCAATTTTAATGCAACATTTATCATTATGCTGACGTTTAAATGACGGGGGATTAAGTAGTAAACGTAGCCACTGTTATATATATATATATATATATATATATATATATATATATATATATATATATATATATATATATGACCTAATTTTTAATACAAAATTCGAAAATTTGAAGAAGGCTATTGAGAGGATATTATGGGAATTTTAGAAAAGGGTTTGGACTTTATTGTCTTTCTGTTTTCTTACCCTTGTTTACATGCTTGCTTGCGCTTTAGAGATAAAAAGGCAGTGAGGCTCGAACACCGAGGCAATCGAGACATCCGCCGCGAGGAGCCAAGAGAAGCCGCGACGATGGCGGCGGCGGCGGTTGTGATCGGCGGAGTAGTCCTCCTGGTGGCTCTTTACTGCGGGTTGGACCCCTTCGGCCACAGCCCCATGGCGGCGTTCCCGGGCTTCGAGGCGTACCCCATAGAGGTGCCGTCCTGGTCGGAGCTCCCCACGGCGCGGGACGCCGAGGACCGGCTCCAGAGGGCGGAGATCAAGTTTCTCAACCAGGTCCAGGGCCCGGAGAGCGTCGCCTTCGACCCCCAGGGGCGGGGGCCCTACACCGGCGTCGCCGACGGCCGGGTGGTCTTCTGGGACGGAGAGTCATGGTCCGATTTCGCATACACGTCTCCCAACAGGTATGGTTTCGTCTCACTCTCGATCTATGTAACGACGATAAAAAGGTGCGACTTTTGTGGTCTGATCACATCGATGGCTCGGTAAGAGAGACCTTGGAAAGGTCTGTCCTTTCCCTGTATTGGGTTTTGCCTGCTTGATTTGCAAGCCATTCATTCCGTAACCCATAAGATATAGGTGAAATTTGCTGCCGGTAAAGCCTGGCCACAAGGCTAGGAAATAGAAAGCAAAGTGGTAAAGGTGATGGCTTATCCCTATCTTTCTGATTCTTGTAGTCCTTGGATACCATCATGATATATGTTATCCCGGGTACAGATGAATGCACTTTTATCTCAGCAAAAGCTTAAAAGTTCCATTTTTAACCAGCATATGGCACAGTCTTTAAAGATTTTGACTGGAAATTACTGCACCTGGGCACTTGATATTTTAAGAACTACTCTGAGGAGAACTCATTGGCTTGTAATTAGTGTGACTTACCACAAAGTCTTTAATTTTTATGATTCCATAGCAATTTTGTGACATCACCAGTTTATATGAGAAAAGGCAATCGAAATCCATTTCCGAGTTCTGCTTCAGTAGACTGAAGAAAGAACATCTGGTTTGAAGGATCCCTTTTATTTTTTTTCATTGAATTTACACAAAGACAAACAACAGAAAGATGATAGTATTGATGCTCATGAACATCTGCAGATGCCTCTGTAAATTGCTATAACCCCATTGAGTATGTGCTGGTGACTGACTTACTTATTGCTATCTGTCATCTGGTGTTGATAGGTCCGAGATATGTAACCCAAAGCCATCACCTTTGAGTTACTTAAAGAATGAGCATATCTGTGGGCGACCATTAGGACTTCGATTTGACAAGAAAACTGGAGAATTGTATATTGCTGATGCCTATTTTGGGTTGCTCAAGGTAGGCCCAGAAGGTGGCTTGGCTACACCAGTAACTACTGAAGCAGAAGGAATACCATTAAAATTCACCAACGACCTGGATATAGATGAGGATGGAAGCATATATTTCACAGACAGCAGCACCAATTACCAGAGGAGGTATTTCTTCTTTAGGCTCCTGAGTAACACTGTTTCTAAAAAAAATGCAAAACCTTTAATGATAATATCAGAAATGTTACGGTTTGCTTTTGTGTCATCTTATTTCGGTTTGGCTGCATGTTTAATGTTCAATGGAGTTTTATATTAGATTATAACAGACATGTAAACTGTGTTTCTGCTCTATTGAGTTTGTATTCTTGTAGGAGCTTACAGATTTTAGTTCACAAAAATCAATTAGATTATTGTTGCCCTTTTTAAATTTTCTTTTTCTGCTTAATTTAATCGGGCTTGTGTTCTGTTTTTGGTGCTTGATGTTCAAACTTTAAAGCAAGGATTGAAGGTTTATTGTGTAAATGCTGTTTCACTATAGAAATGTTCATCTTATTAGCATGCGGTATGTTGTGTGATTCTTTCTGATACTGCTGTGTGAAACAGAATGATAAAAGTCGAACATGTTAGTCATGGCTGGTTCATCATTCTCAGTCTAAAAAAAATGAAGACTTCTCCTTCATTTGATAAACCTCAGTGCAAACATGCTTTGTCGCTTGAGAAGTAGTAGGCATTGGAGCCAAAGCTTTTTAAAAGCTGCAACATCAAAGTCACTCAACATCTGGGAAATCTTCTCATATTCCATCAAAGTTTACCCTCCCTCGATTTAAGCTTTCCATCTAATCTAATGCTACCTTTAACTTCTCTATCATCTTGGTAATATGCCAGTGCTTGTGTTATCTTTTCAATAAAACAATATTAAAATTCTTGATTATTGTGAACAAACTACACCCAAAAGTAAGTTATTCTCGCAAAGTTACATTAGTTTTGTAACTGGTGCTCTGTATTTGTCTAGCTTTATACATTTAGTTAGTGTGCCTTTCATGTTCTGTTACTTACGCATGTAGCGAACAAGCAGCTTTTGGGATAATAATCATTAAGGAATAATTCAGAAAGACAAAAATGCACATATTGTATTCAATCTGGTTGCTAAAATAATGTTTATAGACTCTAGATTTCATTCTATTGTGTATATGGAACTAAGCAGCCACCATATATCAACATAAATAAGCGAGAAATATGACACTATTTTTATCTATAATGTGATGTTATTTCTCATGAAAGACAAGGAAATAAAGTATCCTTTGCTATGCAATCCAAATAACGAGCCAAAACTGGTATGTGGTTATTGGTTACTCTAATTCATATCCTTGGAAGTGATGTCAACCTCCTGAAAACTGGCTTTCAAACATGACTATGCTTCATCTGTTAGTAAATGTAGATAGACATGACAAGCTTCGTACCCTATTTAGATTCATTGTAACAAAAGAATATGTGGCCATTATAAATCTTGAAATTGTCCTCCAGGAACTTTATGCAACTAGTTTTCACCGGAGAGCCTTCAGGAAGGCTATTAAAATACAACCCTGTTATGAAAGAAACAACAGTGCTACTTCGGGGTCTTCAATTCCCCAATGGCGTCACTTTAAGCAAGGATGGATCCTTCTTTTTGTTCTGTGAAGGATCACGTGGCAGGTTGGCATCCGCACGTTAACTCTTGTAGCCCTTGTAAGCTAAATGTTTCTTATGCGGTATGCATTTTATTTTACAGATTGAGTAGATACTGGCTGAAGGGAGAAAAGGCGGGAACCTCGGATGTTTTTGCCGTCCTTCCAGGCTTCCCTGATAATGTGAGGACTAACGAGAAGGGTGAATTCTGGGTGGCAATCCATTGTCGCCTTAGTATGTATACACATCTCACGAGTCGGTATTTCCGGTTGAGAAAGTTTCTGTTAAAGCTCCCCATTCCTGCAAAATATCATTTCCTGTTGCAAATCGGAGGCAGACCGCATGCTGTGATCATCAAGTACAGTCCAGACGGGGAGTTGCTGGAGATTTTGGAGGATAGCCAAGGCAAGGTGGTCAGAGCAGTGAGTGAAGTGGAGGAGAAGGATGGGAAACTTTGGATAGGATCTGTGCTTATGCCGTTCATCGCCGTGTACTGATCATTCCTGAACCACATGCCCACTTTTGTTTTCGGAAACCATATGATCGGCAGCCGTTTGAAACCTACACACTTGCTGTGACATGTAAGCAGATGTATAGTGACTAGTGCGATATAAGTTTCTGCTTATTGTTCCGAACAATTTGATGTATCGCCGGTTGCAGGTTAATAATCATCTGGTTAGGTTTTGGTTGATGACGACTTGGTGGTCTCATTTTCCTTTCATTTGGGATCTGCATTTAATGCATCTGGTTTTCTTGTCTCATCTTCTTCAAGCTTTCCTTCATCTGTAATGCTGTGAAACCAGGGTTTGGTTATTTCTGTGGAGATGAGCTTACTTCCGTACCAAATGCAATGAATCAAATTCGATGTGTCTATCCAGTCTCAAGGCAATGACTCTTAATTCGTGATAACTACAGCTCGCTACCAGTCGGAGACAACCCATGTTCCGATCGATCTAACGAGAAAACTCGATCCTTCCTTGATATGCCGTGGAATACGGTCGTCCGACATTGACCATGTAGTCCGCAGGTCCACCAATTTGGTTGTCATATCGTGAAGCTTCGCTGCTCCTTTCTGCAATCCTTGACCTGCATCCGCCTGTTTGTCTCGAGTCCGCCCAAAACCAGTGGATGTGGATGAGATTTAGAGAGCAGGACACAGCTGAGAACCCATCATTTATCTGCTACGCCAGTCACTGTAAGATGATGAATTGTACATATAGCAGGAACAATAATGTGCGTTAGGGATGGCAGTAATGGTCTTTCCTGCTCCTGGATCAAGCGCAACCACCGAGCCGCTGCCGCGCATTTTCTCGAACACGATGTGGGCGAACGGGAGCAGAGCATGTGGGGAGGCGTCGGACGCACCGACAGTAGAGCGTGCGGCCGATAACGTGGTGCGTCGGTGTCTCATGGACGGTCGCGATCTCGGCAGCGGACGACGTGGGCCGAGCAGTGCCTCCCCCCCTTTCGTACCGATGACGAGACACACTGTAGCTTACCTTAACCATTGATTGGCTAAACCGATAAACCCCGATTGGGTCCCGCTTTGCTGCGTCCAATGACAGAGCGAGTGACGGTCGGGAGAGGTAACTTCGGTGCGACTCCAATTACAAGTCGCCTGCGCGGAGGGCAACTCGTCACCCGCCTGATGGAGCGGCGGGATGATTGGAGTCCTTCCGACGGCCGTGATCTTTCCACGTCACTCACCAGTCCCAAGCCAGCTCATGCTTGCCAACCTCGATCGTAACCGTCCGATCTTACCACGAAATAGATCTGGCTCGTTCACATTTTGCGATGATCAAACCGTCCATCGGTAGCGTTGCACGTTCTCCCACCATTGGGCCCCATAGGACGAAACTACCCTCTCCGGGCTTGCGACTTTATTGTATTTAATTGAAGTTTCGGGGAAAATGTAGGGGTATTTTAGTAACAACACGTGGCAATTCGGCAAATAAGGCTCCGTATACATCTTTAGTTTGAAAAAAATAGGCCGTCCCACATTTCGTCCTCTTCTTAGCGAGATAGAGAGAGAGAGAGAGAGAGAGTGAGAGAGGAGAGGAGGGGAGGTGGTGGTGGTGGTGGTGGTGGTTGCGAAGCGGAGGGCGACGACGCCGAATCTAGGGTTTTCCGGAGAGAGGGCCAAATCGAGATTCCCGCGCCAGAACCCATCGATTCCGAAGCGGAGAGGGCACTCGACGTCCTTGATTCGAATTCCCGCGTTCTGATCTCGCCGAGCTAGTCCGGATCACCGCCGCTCCTCGCTCGTACGCGGATCTGTCGACGCCCTTCTGATCCGTTGCTCAGACTCCACCTCGACCGGATCCCTGCAGGTAAGGCGTAATCTCCTGCTCTTGCTCGTGATCTTCATCTCTCTTCTGCTCCTTATTCGTCGAATTGTTTATGGGGGGTTTGGATCTCGACTCCGAAGGAGAATTCGTTATAAATCCTTCCAGAATGTTGATGGTTTCCTCATGGTGTAGTGTAGTAGGATTAGGCGTGAGATCATGGGTTGTAGTGTTCTGGGCGATGCATTTACGAAAGGATTGAAGACGAAGTAGGACCGAATCGGATTTACCTTTGTCGATTTCAGATTTATAGTGTTGCTTCAGTTATTACTACATATAAGGATGTTCTTGAATTGTACTGTTGCAGCGTTAAATTTCTAAATTGTGGTAGATTTCCATTGTAAGATGGAATCTGGTGATGGAATCGAGCTGGAACTTAATAAAGGGTCAGTGGAGAAAGCTCCCGAGAACAATGGATTCAGTTCACATATAAACAAGGAGAACGAAGTTATTGAGAATGGTGCTGATGCTGTTCATGCCGATGGTGGTTCCGAAGGTGCGTCAAAGGTTGAAGTCATCAATTCTGCCGGGGACAAGGATGGAGACACTGTATCTGCCACCGAGAACAAAGCATCTAATCCTTCCAAGGTAATTCTCTTTGTATTTTCATCGGCCTCTTTTCCACAAGTCAGACGGTAATGTTGAATGGAAGATGTGCTGCCACACATTTTTGCGCAGAAGGGTGAAGCTGATGTTAATAATCGATCGAGGAAGACACAGAAAAGTCCTCGTGTTCTGAATGGTTCCGCCATTGAATCTCAGAAGAAAAAGAATGTTCTGTCACAGAGTGTCTCATTTCCTTCTAGAGGGTCTCTTGCTAATAATTTCCGCTCAATTACAACTTCTACAAGGCAGACTAAAGTTGCATCATTAATTACAAATGGTACAGTCTCTTCTTTCTTCGTGTTCCGTTATTTCAACAAATTACCTTTTCCCCTGCTAAATGTTACAATCTGACCCTTAGGTGATCTTGCTGCCAAGCTTTCTGCTTTGACTGCTGTACCAAGTGTTCGGAGAACATCTGTGAGTCTGAAGGTAGGTGGATAATTGATCTTTTCTAGAACAAGTAACTTAAGTGTCAAGGACTATGGTTTGACTGATAGTGAACTGTGGGCTGTTTTTTGCTGATCCTTTTTAACTAATTGCTCAACACTAATCCGTGAAGACTGGTTCTGCCGAGGCAAATGGCACTTCTGCCGAATCTGCCCAGTAAGCTCCTGTATCTTCTGCAAGTTTAGCAAAGCTTTTTCTGTCACACTCTTGAAGTAAAATGCTTATGATGCATTATCATACATGCTTAATGATGGTTATATGAATTTTGGAATTTGCGTCAATTTTTGTTAAATGACACGCATCATTGCATGCATTTTACAAGGTGAATGCAAAGTTCAGAGAAAAATTCTGGTATTTGACAAGTCCAATGCCATTTCACATCTGAGGAATGACTTTCATATGCAATCATCAGACAAAAAAACATTAGCTTTATTCATCATATTGCTTCACCTGTGGCTGAAGTTGTATGCCATGTTTTATATTTAAAGTCTGTGTCTTATATTTGATGTCTGACCTACAATTGCTTGACGATACTTTCGATAAGAGTGACTTCACCATATAAGTTAATTTATTTTCATTTTTGATGCAATTAACATGGCATAACAGGTCAAATGGTAGTAAAACAAAGCCCTTGAAACATGCATTGCCAGCAAAAAAGGATGATGATACCCACTCCACAGCCTCGTAATGTCTCTTTCTTAACCATTATCATTTTCTTATATGCCATGGTATTTTGTTTGAGGTGTATGCTATGTTTATTCCAGAAGTTCAACACCACATGCAAGAAAGAGTATTGGCAATGCTTTTAATTTTAGGTTGGATGAGCGTGCTGAGAAACGTAAAGAGGTTAGCAGATCCACTTTTAATTTTTTTTTTCAAACACCTTTTCAATGTTGCACCTTTAACCAAATTTTATTGTCTTTTCAGTTTTTTACGAAACTTGAAGAGAAGAATCATGCAAAGGAACTGGAAAAGACTAACTTGCAGGCAAAATCTAAGGTAGTCCTTTTGCTGAAGTCTGAAAATTTTACTTGTCCTTCATGAAAGCTTTTGCAGACTGAATGTGAACTAAGTTCTCTAGAAAATATAATTAGGAGAGTCAAGAGGCTGAGATCAGACAGCTGAGAAAGAGCTTGACCTTTAAAGCCACTCCAATGCCAACCTTTTATCAGGAACCTTGTCCTCCTAAAGTTGAATTAACGAAGGTACTATTCTTTCCTATTTTGCTATATGAAGTGTCACTGATTCATTAATAGATTTGAATAACATAGTTTATAGTTGGTGATATTATTATTGTAGTTAAATAAACAGCCTGCCTGAACATTGTCTTCTAATAGGTGATTTTTTAATATTTTTGTGCACCATATTTGTTTTAAAAGGATATTTGGGCCTCCTCATCTGCTTAAGTATCCATCATCAAGATAGATCTCTGCCTAGTTGTAGCTCGGGAGTTTTAGCTTCTTTGTTCTTTACAGTTGCCTTCCGATTCAGGCTCTTCTGCATCAATTTCTTATAGGATTATCTGCTTACCATGGTGTGTTGTTTAGGAAATTTTCTTTTTTCAAGTGACTTCTTGCATTATCATCTTACAACAACAGTGCATCATTTTGTTTATTTCTTAATAATCTGGTATTCTGATTGGGTACGTTGATGCTTGTTATCCATATTAAAATGCACTGATGTAATGAAAACACAAATAAAATGATACACTTTACATTGGTTCAAAATAAAAAAAATGACCATAATATCAACATTACATCTTTTTGCATTGACTAATGTGTTGTCTTCTATTTGAGCTTTCTGCATCTTAGTACAGTAAAATTTTGTAGATTGAGTTAATTAGTCAGGGCACTAAGATTGAGTTAATTTCCACTATAAGCTGCAGGAACTTAATATTCAAGAACAAAATGAGCAAGGTAAAATTTTTTTTTTCTTCAACGAGCTTTCATATCCAAATCTAGTTTGGGCACAGTGTTTAACTTATGTAATCACTTAAACAATAAAAAAAACTTCAAATTTTCTCCTCATATTTCACATTTCTATTTAACTTGTATGGACATTAGGTATTTCATTTTCTTTTCATTTAGGCTAAATTATGTGCATTGGGGAAGAAAAATCAGTTTCACTTCTTCAAGATTCACAAAATCCGGTTTGCTAGAGGTTATGGTTACTTTTTCCTAGCTGATGGTGAAGTTCTTCAATTTTTTTCTGGTTTTTCTTTTCACTTTGGTTTCTTTCCAAATCATTGTTAAAAATAATGTGTAAGGCATATGATTTGCAGATGATGTATAGTTCTTCAGTTTCGCGTGCTTTGTTTCCTGCACGACATATCTCCGGATTTGTCTTTCTTGGGAGAAAATAAATCCTGCTGCTAATTCTTGGTCGTGTTACAGGTCCCACCAACACGTGCAAGGTCGCCAAAGCTTGGGCGTCGGAAGCCATCTGTTACTGCTGCAGACGGTCCCTCAGAAGCTGGCAACACTCGTGATGGCCCACACCCTATATCCAGTTTAACCAAACCGAATGAGGGTTCAGAAAGCAGTAAGGGGAATGCAATAGCTTCAAAGAACTCAAAGAAAAAGTCTCTTGCAAAACTTCCATCACAAAAGTTAAAGACCACCAAACTCGACTCAGAATCAGTTATGACGCCCAAAACCGAGGAGATCGATGCAGGAAACAGCGATAACAGACCAACAGAAGTCTCTGCCGAAACAAACACCGAAGCGAAACTAGCATCTGCCAATGACAGAGTTGAGGAAAATAAAACAATTGCTAATCTTCTAGAAACTGATATCGGACCCAGTGAAGTTTCGGTACAAGGTTAAAACACAAGCCTACCCATCCTATGTATTAGTCTTTGTGCCCTTTTTGTGAATAGAATTCGTGCTGCTTGGAGAGTATGCTGCTGCTGCTGCTTTATGTTTGCGCATTTTCTTGGTCTGAAGTAGATATTGTTTTGTGAGACATTATTAGGTCATGTATATTTATTTGTCCAACTCTTTTGCAGTTTGATCTATGGTAACCCTCCTCCTCCAATGAACCAATGGAATGACCCTTTGACATTATCTGGTGGAGATAGCAAAGGTTATCCATAGTCAGGGTTGCTTTTGGGTTCGATCAGATGCTAAGTTTTTTCTTTCTTTTTCTTGCAATGCACGGTTTGTTCCTTGAGATTTGCTTGATCTGTGTGAAACACTTTGCTTTGGCCCACCTTCTTGATGTGGTGGATTGCTATTTTATTGATGACGTGTCATATAAGATATATTTTGTTTGTACGACGGGGTTGGTAATGACGAGCATTTGCTACCGTCTTCCTTTTTCTGCTTACTGACTCATATTGTTGTTTAACATATTATCTGCACTGGAACTCGAGGGTTCTAACCCAGATGAGCGACCCTAATATGGTTTGTGGAAGAAACATGGCAAAAGGGGAGGATTCATCCGTGAACCTGAAGGCCGATAGTTGGATCACTGGAGAGGGTAAGAGTGCAGGGAAGCTGTGACTCAGCCACCAATTCGAATTATCAGAAAGCAGTGACACAATAAGAAAATTAAAACAGACGCACATATCACCATAACGAGAACCAAATCAATCAGCAAACTATCAGCCGTTCTACCTTTGAACCATTATTAGCACATCAGCTTGTCGTCGTTGCACGCTGACGTGTAGACCAAACCGCAGCTTATTCCATTGTTGTGATACCCCTATGGACATTGAGGTTAATGAATCATACATATTTTTATATCGATTTTGATACATCCATCTATACTATGTAAAAGCATTAAATGAAGCATACAAAACAGCAGTATATAAAAAAGAAGATAATTTTTTTCACATCCATTCCACGTAGACAACAAAGCAATGCACACATAGGAGAATGCAGAACTAATAATATCATAGATACATTATGCATGATGATAAGTCTCTGTCATGAGAATGCAGAACTAATAGTCGGTACAAAGCAAAATATCCACCTTGGGCATGAGATACAGCATACAAATCCAATTAGCACAATATACATTAGGAGAGAGTGCTGAGTATGAACAGCAGCAGCAGCAAAGATAAGAGCCTTACTTTTTCAGATAACAGCTACAAATTTGTAATCCTTGGGAGCAAAACAACAAAACACTCACTATTGTAATATACGATAAAGAAAACCATAGTAAAGGAGATGCCAGAGGTAACTAAATTTGTCCAAGGAAAAACAACACATGTACATCAAATTCATCAACGCTGATTCCTCAATCATATATAACATGTATTTATTTATATACTGAATCCAGACTAACTCAAGGAACTTTGAGCTAACTCTTTTCTCCTTCAAATAATCCAGATCCTGCCAATTCCATGACAAAGGAAACTAGATTTCTCATGATTTGACCCTTGTTGACTTGGTCTCTTACTATTTGTATTTTTTTTTACCAAGTTTGGAATCTTACACATGAAGACAACTCAAACTAGTACTCCAGCATATCAAAATCTCCACCGACAAGATAAAAATCTACAGTGACTAAAAACTTGACTCAAAGCAGATCTACCGTCTGCTAGATGTAACAAAAATCTGCTGACATGTATACTGCAGTGTTCGCTAACACTGAAATGATCCCTGGTCATAGACATCCACTGCACTGGTGCCCTTACCAGGGTCAGCCAGCCATTACCGCAAGCTTCCTCTCAATAACATCACTCAATCCTGTTAGCTCTGCCAATCCCTATTACATAAACCAACTTCACTCTTCGTTTATAAAATATTGGCTAGTGAAGCATCGGCAACCTCAATTCCACAGGACAGAGAACCAACAACAGTCACTTCATATATGAATTGCCAACCCAAAGGCATTGATCTTAGGATGGCCGTGCTTCAAATCAGTTCCAGCCACCTTCAAGCAAGCAAGACGAGCATTGAGCCTCACAAAGACAGACTCAAAAGTCCAGGCCAGTAGCAACTCAAAGTAAATGTACTTCTGATCTGAATAAACTATGAAACATAATAGTGCAACTAAGAATTCTGATGTTATTTTCCTGATCTCTATGACATGGATGGTCAACAAGGCAAAGGGGATCTCAAAAATGTAATTACAAAACATGCTGAAGCAGAAATGTATATACCTTTAATGTTGAAAGCTGGAGCACGCTCGGATCCTTCAAAATGAAAAATAGCTTAATTGGGACCTGTAACCTAAGAAGATGGTGTAGTGCCATTGTTTGGATGAGCACTTGCATGATTGACATTATCACCATCATTACTTCGTTCTACAACTGAGCACCCTTCAGCAACAGGTGAGGCAGAAGTACCAGCTGTTCTCTCTCTTGCATCCAAGCGCTCCATCATCCGTGACACAGTAGCAATTCCGACTCTAATTTCTCTCCTGACTTCAGAACCAATATCTGCCACAGGCCCATTACGTGAAAATAATCTCTCCCTCCATCCTTGAGTACTCTTAGTGATTGATTCCTTGTACCTAATTGTCCAAAGTACAAAGGACACAATTAGCATCTGCATTCCCAGAGAACAAGCATTATAACTATAAGCTTCAAAGTACCTCATCGAGACAGCACTCAAGCGAGATTTCAGGGATCCTGAGAAGGATTGGAAGTCTGATGGCCTTGGTCCAACTTGGTGAACTCGAGATGATTGGCCAGCAGGTGTCCTATATAAAAGTGATGATTAGAACACTTCCGTAACCGAAGTGAAGCGAAAAATACACAAGGACATTCACAAATATATAGTCCTAAAGATCACCTTGGACATGAAATGCTTGACCTCATCTGACTATTGCGGGCCTCAGATGTCAATGTAGCTACCTCACTTGCATGAGTTGGGGCAACACTTGTTAGTTCAGAAAATTCCCCTACTAGAGTAGCGGGGGGCGTTGTTGGGTTAGCAGCAACTATTGCAGGAGCAACTTCATTTTCTCCTCTTGGAGGAGAGGAAGAAGATATGGAGCCCACAGAAGCTGCATCTGAATTTGTAGAGAAAACCAGGTACTGTGGACGGCCATGAGATCCTGATCTAACCCGACCTTCTCTTCCAGCAATGTGGCGTGCCCTTCCCATGGAAGCAGTAGCAGCTAAGTGCTGAAAAATACGCTCTTCAATTTCGGCATGACTTCCACCAACACGCAACTGCAACAAATTTTGAGAAAGAAACATTCCTTATGTGAAAGGAAAGAAACCTTTTACACTTATGTCCAACAATTCAAGGGTATAAATCACATCAAATTACATAACAACCCACATGATGCAATTCAAAATCTCCAAAAGCTGGATGCTGAATTATGGTGGTAGTCTTTGTATTATCAACTTTAAAGCTCCTCTCCCACTCTACAGCCTCCAGTAACTCTTGGCTGACACAACCAACGACAAAAATCAGAACCTTTAAGTTGCAAGAATAGTCTAGGCACATACCACAAAACCACTTTGGTTTAATATGAACCTGGTGGGATCCTTTAAACTGATGGGCTGCCAACACATTGGGCATTGGGAGCTTCTCTGGCACCTAAAATTGAACAGAAAATAAAGAAGACTTGAATTGAAAGAAACATAGTTCCAAACAAAGAACACATTCAAGAGGATAAAATAAGGAACATAGTTATTTCAATAATACTGTAGAAGAAACCAGCTTATGACGCTGATGACACCCAACATTAACCAACAACCAACAGAGAGCCGCCAAAAACATGCCCAAACTTATTTATCTACTGCAAGAAAACGCATCCCGAGACAAGTAGACAAACCACTGCAGGAAACTACTATGGGAGATGATTCCCTTGAACGAAGCTATGAAGGTTGTTTTCTTCGATTATAAAGTTCCACATGACTATTTTCTAGATGCTTAATAAGAACATGGTTGGCACGACTTCAGTGACCCAGGAAGAACAGTAATAACAGAGAATGCAAGGAAGACAATACCATTCAAGAATACACTGTAGATGGAACTCGTGCCTGCAACTAGTAACCTGAAGATAAACATATAGAGCAAATTAGAAGAAAAAATCGAGCGATTAAGAAAAGGTGAAGAAAGAACGTTTCGATCACCTACAAATTACTGAAGAAAAAAAATAATCTAAAGTACCGCCTACCGTTGATGGATCACTTTCACAGAATGCTTCAAGGCAGATGCTGCATGCATCATCACAAACATCCTGAATACCTCCTTCCATAAAAGCCACAGCCGAAGACAAATGGCTCTCCATCTTTGCAGTCTCATCCATTATCAAACCCTAAATCAATACCTCATACCGGTTAGAAGACAAAGGCCAAGGCTATAAATCATTCAAGACAAGCCAGTCAACATTTGTTATGAAGCACAATCAACACAAACGGCACACAACGATCAAAAACCGCCGTGCAAGGCGGCATCTATACCGCGATCATACCGAGACTCCCTCTATTCGGCAAGAGCAGCGGGAAACACAGCCTCTAAATCATCAAAAATCAGAGAACCAAGGGGGAAAGAAGTACGATCGACGATTGAGTGGAACCACAGGCAGAACGGAATCAGACGAGGATCCGGGACGAATCGGATCCGAAACAAACAAGCAACGACAGAATACCTCCGACGAATCGGCTCAAGAGCAGAGTTGGGCGGATCGAGAATCCGCAACGGCGACCGTGAGGCAGCTAGAGTTTGGGTAGTCGACGATGCGACCTCGCTTCATTGGGAACCGATCAAGAAACCCTAGCGAAGGAGAGAGACAGGAGGAGGAGGAAATCGCGTTTCAGAGTGCTTCTTTCCCGTCTCGCTCTCTCTTCGTTCTCGCTACTTCTATAGCACTAACTAATAAGGGGGGAAGAGAGACGGCGGGTCTTTCAATTATCGAGACGATTACCGTAACAGATTCCGTTTAGCCGTGAAATGGATATTCCCAAGAGGGAATCTACCAATTAAAACCCGACGGAATCTGTTGCAACCGTCCGTTTGTTGGAACGGTTGCCGATCACCTCAAGCTAAACTTACGTGGTCGTTTTAGGTTCGACGCAACATTGCATTTAAAATCGTGCTGATGGAATAGATTAAGCCCGAGTATAATGAACGGTCATGATCGAGATTGACTACGGCTTTAGACCTTTGTATTAAACCGACGATCGTGATTAACGCCTAAAAATATAAAACTTTATGCCATGGTCGGGGAGTTGGCACGGCTGAGTCTGTGTGCAAGGTCGTCCATGTGAATCTTTAGAGAAATGAAAAATCGAGGGACAATATCGGTCAAAGGTCGAATCTCGAGATCTCATTGCGTGCTCGTGGTCGATCGGAGGTGGGGCTTGATTGGTCACGTCTCCAGCACGCTCACTACATAATAGGCTTGGATTAAGGAGGAATTCTCGACTTGACTTCTTTGATGTTTAAGTTTGCAATTGAATTGTTGTGGTATTTGAGGTTCAATCTCTTTTTCAGGGTTAGGAGATTAGTTTTTATACCTGGAGAGTCGATTCGAAGATATGATCATTTACTGCTCATCGTGCCCCGTTCGACGTGGCCATGTGAGCGACCGACTCATACATTCCTGATGGTGTGGATCAGTTTGTGCAGACCTCTACTATGCAACGCCGACTCGTACAGTCCAAACAGCACGAAGTCGATCATACAACATTTGTTGGGTTAGCCATTCTTCCTATCGAACGCAGGTTGTTCCATGTCAGCTCCTTGGAGGTTGCCTGGTGTCGCTCTACATTTGGTGCGAGGATATTCTTTATTAGCTTGTAAATTTAAGTTCAATACGATAAAATTGACCATAGCCACATATGATCTACTCAACTAATTAATGTCAATTTCTCATGAGTAAGATCAATTGGAGTCGAGGATGGTAAGTTTAGATAGATGTGATCTTGACTTAGGATGCAATTGGGGTTCAAATTCCAATTGGGTGAAAGTAGTAGTTAGGTAAGGATACGAAAGATCTCACCAACGTTAAAGCTAGATCGAGAAAAGTCAAGTCAAAATTGGTAGGCATCAGGTCAACGATCCAATCGATCCATCCAACTTATTGTGTTGACCATGAAATTTGATACTAGGAATATGAAATCATTAATTATTATTATTTTTATCTCAATGGCCTAATTACATATTATTTTTAATTAGTTGATAGGAGAAGTTTGTGCTTTCAAAAGTTACATAAATTTATTTTCTCTTTTTTATTTTTAATTTTATAAAATTGCTTTTTAATCATTAATATCTATTCAGGGTTAATTACATATTAGTTCATATAATTAGTTATTTTTAGTATTTCCATTTTCAAAAGTTATTGAGAGCACTTTATAAGATTAAAAAATAATTTTATAAAATTAAAAATTAAGAAAAAGAGAAACATTTTATTAAAGTAATGAGATTACATATTTCACTTTTATAAATATAAAAATTTTAATATAATTTTTGAAAATATAAAAAATAAAATACTAATGATAATTAATTGTATGGGATAATATAATATAATTAACCTCTCTGTTCATAACGCCTACATATTTCCATCAAACTCCAGTGGTGTCACCAGTCTCTAAGATCAGTCTGTTTCCCAAGTCCCTGCCGCAAACACCATATGTTTTCAGAGGACGCAGATGAATCAGATGCCAAGCCCCCTCTCGTTCCTCTGCTACAAGAACAAATGCCACAGAATAAACTCGGTAAGAACAGGAAACCATGTCATTTTCTTGCAAGGAAAGGTTCCAATTCCAGCTACGCTGAAAGCGACGCTGGTGTTTGACGTCTCCTTGGTGGGAGAAGATGATAGCGTGCTGACCAATCCTTCTATTTCACACGTATAAACCAATGAGATGCCTGAAAATTTATGTTGGAAATTTTGATCTGAAAAGAAATTTATGCTGTATATGAGTTTTGTTTGATTTCAGGGGATCTGTTTCTCGTTGAAAGGAGCTTTGATCACAAAATCAAGATCGGACTTTTACAACCAAAATGCCATCTTTTTCTCGATGAATTAAACACGGAGTTCATGCACTTTTAGTCCATGTCTTTTATAACAATAGATTCATATTTGGAGTGGATTCAATTTCTCTTTGAAATGTACAAGAGGATGTCAATTGGAAGCAGAGATCCTGAAAAGATACCACCTTTGGTTGGGACATCGAACGCTTCTCCTCTGTTTCTCCATGCGAGAGGGGCAAAGTTCTGAGCTTTTAATCCTTTCCCTTCTCGAGAGAGGCACGGCGACCCCACTACTCCTTCTGCGAAGGGCTCCGCCAAAACCCCGCGCTGTAGAACCTCTTCGACATCTCCTTCTCCAACGCCAACACCTCCGGCGACGCCACCTTCACTGGCCACGCCTCCTCGGCCTCCAGCGCCACCAGAAGAGACCCCGAATAGATACCGAAGTCGTCGTCGTCGAGGGAGCCAACTCTGTTCCGAAAGAGCCCGGCTTTCCTCTTGCCGAAGCCGGCGCCATGCTTCCTCTTGTGCCGCAGGGCCCGACGGACGAGCCCTGCCGGCAATTTGACGGCCGCGGTGAACAGGAGGTTCGCAAGGCCGCAGGGGCAGCAGCAGACGATGGCCGCGCACTCCGCCGCCGTCTCCCCGGCCGCCTCCGCCAACCGGGCTCCCAGCTTCGGCTTCTGTTTCTCCTTCGCGATCAGCTGCCACCGTCGGCCGGGAGGAAAGGCTACAGAGGATAATCCGGTTTGCGGAGGCATCATCTTGGGAGGGTCGGACGGCTTGCGTGCCATCTTCCCCTCCCTTAGGCTTCCGACCTTTACGTTCCCGTTTTAGCCGTTTTGGAAGACGACGATAGCCACAGGAAAAACGAGTCTTTATAGGCCCGGTGGATCGGTATACGATGGCACCATGAACCCCCGAAGCAGGATAATCTACTCCTCCTTGAAGCTTATTCCGCCACGTGGACATCGATAAACGCTGGACAACGTTAATATTTTTGCTTCGCGGGCATAGGAGATGTGAAACAGAACGACTGGCGAGGGGCTGAGGACCGAGTTGGAGACCGAGTCGTCACCGGGATTGGTGAGTGCTCGGCCGGCGATATCCACGAGTTGAAGGGTAGGTGCCAATGGGTGCATGACATACCGGTGGATATCGATTACCTTCCTTCGTGTGGCGGTGTCGAATAAGAACGAATCTGACACGCAATTCAGGGAAGAGATAAATCCCAAACTTCCATAAACCCCTCGAGTACCCCGTTCATATGCGCCAAATTGGCGGTCAGATCGCCTGGGTACTTTTGTGGGTCATCTACTTTCGTATGTCACTATATATATGTATATGTATATATATATGTATATGTATATATATATATGTATGTATATATATATGTACATGTATGTATATATAGGCCATATGGTTGTCTTCCTCGCGGTGGCCTCGAATGATTCTGCTGTAACTACTTTTCGTCAGGGGATCCTGTGGCCTCGTCGATTGTGGAGGAGAACCTGTGGCCCTCTCTCCCCCATGCTTGTGTCGGGTCTCAGCTTCTCGCCTCCCTCTCCAACACTTGACGCCGATGGATTTGGCCGCCGGAGCAGGAACTTAGGGTTTCCTCCTACTTGGTCGATGGAGTGCTTTGGGACTGGTCGGCGGGTTGGAGGGATGGTGGCAGCAACTCATCTATTTTGAAGCCTATGATTCCTCAAGCGGCTCTAGATACTACGAGAGGGATGAACCTACTTTTTTGTGCTGGTTCGTTGGTGATGCTTGGTTTTAGCGACAAGGTGAGATATTGCTCCTGTTTTTTGAAATTTAACTTACATTTTTTGTTGAATTTTTAAGCCTTGTTCTTGCCTCCTTCCTAGGGAGCTGCCTTTTATTGTCACTGTTAGTGCTGATTGAAATTGACATGGAAAACAAAGGAAGAACTGATGGAACCATCACATAGCTAAGAAAAGGACAGTCATTTGATCCGGTGTCTGAACTAATGGTTAAACGGCATGACTATTGAACCATCACATGGTTTCGGAAGAAATTTCAGAATTTGGAATCTTAAATGGTCTCCAATTGATTATGTTAGTGCACGATGCATATGTTGATGAATATGACTATGTAGCACCGGCAGAAGTTCAGTGATGATTGCCATTAAGCATGTACGTTATAGGTTTAAAGATTTGATTGCTTGTCAGATCCAAAGCATCCAGAATGCTGCTGCTTATGCTCTGTGTTTGTTGGTTCTATACTGTAAGCAAACACGGGAATCACATAACTGGCTCGTTGACATTCAACCCTTGGAAAACACAACTAGGGTTTTTCCATCCTAAATTCTAGTGGGTAAAACAATGTATTTCGCGCCAATAGAGTTTATATCTAGGGCTTCAGAATTTCTTTGTTTCTTGACAGAAGATTCTAAAATGTTCTAACTAGTTTCTGGTTGTGTATGGTTTTTCTGTTTTCTCCAAGTAGGTTCAATTTTGACATTTGCTGCTTTTGTGGACATCCTCCAAGTTGTGAAATATGAATTATTATTTTGTATAGGGATCTTCAAAATTGTATTTCTAGATAGTAGTTCTATTGTAAGGAATTATGTCCTTCCTTGCCGAATTGAGTTAATTAATATCCGACAAGCATCTTTACTTGAATGGCAATTTAGATTGCTTTTGGGTGAAAGTTTAAGTCATTTGAATTTTAGTTAGGTTTTTCAACATCTTTAGTTTACGTTCAATGACCTGTAATTCATTTGTCTATTTTCTGGGATGTTTCTCTTCTGGATAACAAGGCAATATCATAATTTCAAATATTTTTCTACGCATCCTTTATCATGTAAGTATAACCATTCTTTAGTTCTCTTCTACATGATGTTCTTAATAAAATTAGTGCTGCGTAGTATAGACACATTGAGGCTATTGGTTTAAACAAATTTTAGGTTCCAATATCTTCTTACGTCTGCAACTAATTTTCCGGTGAGGAAAATATTTGCACAATTTCTGCTCAACCTCTTCATTTCATATCTTCTAAAGCACGATGTTTTACAAATTCCAAATGATGGATAGTATAGAAATTAAAATCTCTACTAAAAGTCCTTTTTTGCATCCTTCTCTTTGGGCTTGGGTCTTTCCAAACTATGATTTGCTGGAGATGAAAAATTTCCTCCGTGCATTCTTGCTTAAGCAGCATGATGAAGATTCATTCTTCTTAGGGAAATGTATGCCAAGAGTCGGTAACCAAACACCATTGCTATCATGGCTCCAACTTCTATAACACCATTGTTGAGGTGAGTAACATTTAGAGAGAGTGGTGCTTGGTCATACTGCACCTTGAGTAAGAGTCTGTAAGTGTGATAGTTGAAAGACATGTAGCGGACCCATGATATGAATACTGGAACCCTCTGCAATTATTAGTACCATGTTATCTATTTTGATCAATCTACTATGAGAAAAACAAAATGTGTCACATTTATTTATATGTTTCCTTTTTCCCCTTAATAATGTCAAACAGGAGAAAAATAGTTCATACATGTTGCTTAAATCTTTCAAGATTTTACCTAAGTGGAGGAGAAAGATTGTGCAAATGCCTCAAAAACATCCATGATTACTATTTAACACAAAAGTTAACATACGTTGTGTTTTTGCTTATGAACTTTTGTGCAATACTGTTTCTACTGAGTGGCAAGGGCAATTCTTATTTGAGATCATTGTTAGTACTAATTTCTTATTATATTATTGTTATTAGTTCTTTAAAGCTATTAGAATCTTTCTCTCTAGTCCATGCAATGACATGAATATTTTTTATCTGAAAAAAATGTGTTTCTATTGTAGAATAAAACAAAAGTCTTTGATGAAAATGTGATGATTCATAATTTTGCTTATATTGATTAAGATATTCTCCTGTAAAGAATGAAATAACCCTTACCTTCACAAAAAATCCACCAGCGAGCATAAAGGTCATTACTGTAACTGAAGCTAAAGTAGTTGCCTTCTTGACGTCCATTAGTGAGGCTCCGATTGCCAATCCTAGTCCCTGCACAGAAGATAAACTCTATATAACCGACACCTTGATGACATATGACAGATGCTGCTTCTAGAAATATACTATTTTTTGTCCTGCATACCTGGGCAGCAACAATACTGAGAAATACAATTAACATAGTAAGAAAGAAGGCCTCCACACTCTGCCTTAATGCTGCCATGAAATATACAATTAGCAGGAATATTATTGGTAGGAACAGGTCCAGTGGCAAATCGCTTGTTGTCCTGGCCATGAAATAAGCGCTTAGCCTGTACATGTCAACTGCTCTTTCCTTATTTAACATTGCTCTTTCTTGTGGAAATGTAAAGATTGCCGTGAAAACCGGGAAGAAGCCCCAAAAGACAGCAATAAAGAACAACAATCCTGCCTGCATATTAGATTTTGAATGGGCTATTAGCTGCCACTTACATTTGAAGAAGATTTAAGTAAATTCTTGCTCATAATTGCTATATACATTATAATTGTATTATTCTTTTATCAGTTCTCGTTGAATGCTTTTAAGAATTCTATTTGCATAATAGTATAGCCATTCCTTGGAGATGTCTCAACTGTAAAATTGGGATTTGTTTGACAATTTATTTAGAATGACTACAATATAAATCATGATTAGCTTGCATAAGTTATTTGTAGCTAAATAGGTTACTAATGTTTGACATACAAATTTGCAAAAGTTACAGACATTAAACGATAGACCTAAATATCAACACAAAACCATTGGCAAAGCTTTATCTCATGCATAAATATTAGATCATTGGTTGTGATATTAAAACTATATAAGCAGAAGCCGATGATAAACTGAACTACACGCTGTTATACACAAGCTATTTCTACTAGTCAGCCTGTCTGGAATTACTATTTCTATAGTACAGGATGGAAATGGTTTTTTTACCTGATCTTGCAGACCTTTTGGGGTTGTGCTATCGGAGTGCCACCAAAGTAAACCTAGGATTACTGCAGTTGCAATAACTTGAGTGATTCTCATCCAACTTAGGTAATCATGTCGTCTTTCTTTTAATCCTCTCCAAAACAATATGGAGTACTGTTGCAACCAGCTTGCACCCCAATCTCTTCTTGGTGATGACACAGTGACCTTCAAATCTTCACTTATAGGAAGAGGTGCCATTAACTTCTTTTTTTCCTTAACAGCAACTCTAGTCTCATAGGCCTCCACCAGGTACTGTTTTAAAGTTTTTATGAAAGTCAAAAGATAATAGTTTTTTTTATGAATGCAAAATACGGCAATATAAATAGATGTGGGTTTATCATAAATCTCCTATGCGCTAATCTTTTGTCCATTTGATTGTTACCCTGATAAGTATCACCAGATGTTACCCTTTCATCGTTGAGAAATATTTTGTTATATGAACATTAAATATCTATATAAAATTGTCAAAAGCATATGTAGTTGTAAGAAGGAAGTATCATTTTTTCCAATCAAGGTTGGTTTCTTTTATTTTTAATAATTATGCTGATTGTAATTTGTTATTGAAAAATGCATGCTTTTAAGATCAGGATGCTAAACTTACCTCATGCACATCTTTTGGAGATGGCTTGTCGTTTCTTATATCGCTTCCAAGGTTTTCTATCTGCACTTTATCCTCTAGCTCTGAAGGTATTGAAATATCATTTGTGTTGCCATTAGCAAGATCAAGTAGGAATTCTGCTGGGTTCATTGCAATGAGAGGAGAACACCCAATTGATGAAAAGTAGACCAGTGCTTCTGATGCTTTCCCGAAATATAACAAACTACCTTTTCCAAGAAGGATCAGTTTATCAAATCTATGAAAAAGTCTGCTAGATGGCTGATGAATTGTGGTTAGAACTGTTCTTCCAGCCTGAGGTAGGATAAAAAGATGCCATGAGTCAGACAATGATGAAAAATCTCTTGCATGTTTACTGATATCCATCGTATTCTTCTAACTTGAGTAAAGTAGCTTGTAGGGGCACCAATCATGATTGTTTTATATTATGTTGCAAGTTAAAGCACTTTGTGTTGTTGGTTGGGCTCCCATAGAAGTTCTCTTTCTTCATTGATATTTATTTTTTATATTTTTGTTTCTGATAGGTCTATGAACTATTTTTATGCAAGTAACGAGCAACTCACTACATTAGACTTCCCTGATATATGATCATATTTACTTCCTTTTTCCAATCTATGCCTTTTACCATTGTTATGAACTTTCCTTAGCAGAGCTTGTTCATTGAACTTATTCTGTGCACTGCAAATACAAATAACTAACTTTACATGTGGAAAATATACTCATTGTTGACCTATCGGATTGTATGTTCATGAAATTTATGCATACCACTCTCTAAATTTTAGAATGAGTAGAAACAACATGGAACTCATCTATTGAGGCCATTGTGTTAAAAAAAGTGAGAGAGTTTAGGGCATATCCATTGTGTGCAAGGCCGAAAGTCTGAACACTGACTGTGGCATGGCCTTAATATTCTGACATACATTCTTTCACTAAACAAGTTCAAGGGGCTCTTTTTGCTGAGAATATATTTAGGTATAACCTTTTGCACCTATATTTTCTCCCCACTTGGAGAATAACTTTCAGTGGTATACCAGCTTTCAGATTACAATTCATTTAGGTATCTCACTGACTTTCTGGAGTGACACACAATCTAGATGTATGCTACAGTTGTTTAACTACCACATAAATAAATAAATACATATGCTGTGCTTACCTCGGCTATGTCACGCAAAACTTGCATTATTCTTAGGGCTGTTGTTGAATCCAAACCAGAGGTGGGTTCATCAAGAAGCAGCAAAGATGGGTTAATAATAATTTCATTCCCAATAGAGACCCTCTTCCTTTCACCTCCTGAGACTCCTCGTACAAAAGATCCTCCAATCATGGTGTCTTGGCACCTGCCATTGTTATCAAAATTAGGAAGATTGAACACCCTCTGAGTTGGCAACATAGGCAAGTTCTCTTCCGGCTTTTCAAAGTCGACACCATCCAGTAATTGCACCTCAGAGGAGCTTTTTACTGGATATGGCAGGAAATAGCTTGAAGACTGGGAGGTTACCTTTCAAGTCCTAGCTCATAGATGACATCCATTGCCCTCTCCTCCTTCTGCTGTCTACTCATTTTGTTTGGAAGACGAAGGAGAGCTGCATAAGTTAGTGTTTCTCTCACAGTAAGATGTGCAAAGAGAACATCATCCTGAGTCACAAATCCTATCCTGCCAGGTGAATGCAATTGTTCGATCTTATTGTGATTCATAACATATAAGCAAGCTGAAGGACATCTTAAGAGGAAGTATCAATCGTTAATATATTCAAAAAGAAGAACATGAACATGTCTTCTTTTATGTTACAGAAATTACTTACATTCTCCACTCAAACACAATTCAAATTGTACATGATTTCCAAAGACTGCTATTAAGGACAAAGCATTATGATCATCTTCTTCTAGTTTTCATTTTTCTTTGATTTAAGCAGAGTAGCCATCCTATCTGACAATAAAGTGTTAATGTATTGATGGTTATTTTTTGAGAGAAGTTTATATGCTTGCTTACTTTATGCAGGTTCCTAGAAGTACATCCATGCAGGTGTTTTTGTTCCTCATTCAGGTTGACTTGTTAAAGACAATATGCAATTTAATTGTTTTCACAGTGCCTTTTTACCTGCGCTTTAGAGACTTGGTGTATGGTTCGTCATTGTAAGTTATGGTTCCTTCGACCAAATTGCCACGTATCCTTCCTCCGAGGAGGCTCAGGAGAGTGGTTTTTCCGCTACCAGAAGGTCCCATTAGGGCTAGAAGCTCTCCGGGGCTCGCTGAACCTGTAATTCCGTTGAGGATATCTTTCTCAGTGGTTGTTGTTACTCCTTTGAGGATTACCTTGTATCTAACCTCTGTAAACTGCAACATTAACGAAAGAAAGTAGCGATAGAAATACTTTTCAGTGGTTATCGTCCAGACCTGACCAAATTAGCTTGTACGAATGCTTATAGACTCTCAGATGCTTGCTCAGATTTCAGTCCTCTGATTAAGCTGATCTGAGAACATACAGCAGGATTAAGGTGGTGTCACATTGACGCTTCAATTGACAATAGACATCCACTAAACTGTTCTGTTCTTCTGGAACTATGCCTTTATTCCAACTTTCTTTAGAAAAGGAAGTTTCAGCAATGACTGAATTATATACCTCTGGATTGGGATTACCTTTATATATATTGGCACAGTTGGCTCTGATATTATCTTTTTCTTCATGTGTCCAGCTTCTGGATCCTTTCCTGCAAGATGAGGATTTTATTTGACAAGGTCATTTTGCAAATCATTTCAGTTTGATATTAATATTTTTAAAGATACAAATGGATAATAATAAAATTTCGTAAAATTCTAGATTCTAGGTAAGTGCAAGTATTTGTTCAATGTTTTTCGCACATGCTATTGTTGAAATGTATTATCAATCTGTTGCATGTTTGTATAAATCTAGTGCATCGTGATGCAAATATTGTTCCAAAGTTTTGTTTTAGTGCAACCATCTACCATGTCTCATCGATCATTACATGTGAAGATTAGAAACTTCAATCATCATATGTTTCACAATATTTGTCGGTGCTTATGAAATTTCCTATTATTTTATCGCATGCTTCTACACATCTAGTGACCGTTTAATTTTTGCAAACTGGTCAAAATTTGTCCTGAAGTTCACATGTACCAGTTTTTAGTTTTTATTACACTTGACTAAGAATAAACTTTCATCTTTTCAGTGGTTGAAGAAAAATGAATGAAAGGTTACCATTGTCATCATCACTGAAAGACCTCAGATCCGCAATGATGTCTTCGGGAGGGGCAGTGAAGCCGGTGAATGAAAAGGAGAAGCCCAGACTGGCACTGGAAGCTCTGCTCAAGGCGGCACCGCTGCTCACATCTTCCAAGTCTAGCTTCAGCTGTCCGCTCCGTGATTTCCGACTGTGGTGCCCGACTTTCCTCCCCGGTGAAGTTCCCACTGTTTTCTTCCCGAAGCTCGACTTCCTGGATAAGCTCGGCTCCCCATTAGTGTTTGAGGTCAGAATCGTTTCAGCAGAGGCCGTGCGGCTTATCGACTGTGACGCTGCAACCTTCTCCAGTTGGTCCGACTTTGTCCTACTGATCATCGATGTAACCGAATCCATCTTTCAACACAACGGTACTGCTGTTAGTTATCTGCATTCGACGGTCAGTCAGATACTCCCACATGCTTGATTCAAAAAGGAGACATGGAGAATTCAGATCTATTTCCATTTCAGACTGAGTTAAAAGGACACGAAGGTGCCAACTCTTTTTTTTTTAATCTTTCCTGATGCAGTGATGTCACCTATCAAACTATTAGTCTTTTTGTTTTCTCCTGTGTGTGTGTGTGTGTAAGGAATATTGTGTTTCCACTATATTTGATATGACACATCTTTTGAAACTAAGCACAGAGAAATCTTTTCTTTCAATATCTATTGTGATTACTATATGTCATAACTACTACAGCTTGTGTGTGGTGGGATCATTCCTAACAGTTGTAGCTCTGAAATATTATACATGACATGTCATGCATGCAACCAAGAAGATAAATTGTGAAGTATATATATATGATCACTGTTATTTCTCATACAAGCAAGATCAAAACAAGAGAGAGAGAGAGAGAGTAGGAATCATTGTGAGTCGGAAGGAAGACAAGAGCACACAAATAAACAGTACCTACCTTGGTATGAGGAAGTAGAGAAAGAGGTGTGTGATATAGCTGGTCGAGCGAGGAAGAGGAAGGTGAGGGTTAGCTCGATGCCACCCATCCGTCTTCTCTCTTCTTCTCTTATAAAGACGACCTCCTTCACACACCACCACAGCGTCGTGCGGTGCAGGGAACCGAGGGTTAATTCACGGAAAAGCCCCTGACGTTGTGACGGTATTATGGCCACCGCCTCCACTAATTTCTTCCCTTACGAAGGCCTAACAAAACCAAATGGACGCCGACGCCTCTGCTTCTGCTTCTTCCTCGCAATGGAAACCGGTGCTTTTGCTTTCTTCGGCCAAGGAATGGACACACCACCATCCATCATCATCATCATGCGCTTTCTCTTAGTACTCGCGTCATGAACTTTCATAGCGTTGGATACTTCGATTTTGACTTATAATCGAACTGTTGTTAATTTTGACCAATTTAATTCGTATTCGTCGATTTCATATCCTCCTCAATATGCAGCTCTCTCTCTCTCTCTCTCTCTCTCTCTGGTGCTGACAGCCGCATGTCACCGGAGGAAGGAAAGTCCAAGCTGACGAGTTGTCAAAGATATCAAGACGAGATGTGGTCGAAGACCGCCAAAGAGATACGAAATCAAGGCAAAACCAAACAAAGAAGAAAAAGTCTTTGTGTGATCGATCACAGAGGGCAACACTCAAAAAATCTTATGATCTGTTTTCTCCCGTCTTCTTCATTTTTATCTCAAGCGAAAAATAAAAGACAAAAATATGCTTTTGAGGACAATGATTAATTACGATTACACAAACGTAAGTTTTGAGCCCACTATTAATTTTCTCAAATAACTAAAAAACAAATATTGCTGAATCTCCCTTTCTTACTTATGTTGACTTTCGTAGCTATAATTTTTATTTCCATCAATGATAAGAGGAGAGAGAGAGAGCTTGCAAATCAAAAATCTTTAAATATCAATGCAGAAAATATCTAATAAATTTATATTTTATATATAAAAAATATTATATATACTTTTTTTTGATAATTTTATTTAATGATTTGTATTACGACCGGTATATCAACATATCAATGCATAGAAGCATATCAATATATCCCGTCCATACTGATATCCTGTCGAATTGATACGTCTCATTTATATCAAACGATACATTACGGTACGATAAACTTTGATTATATTTTTAAAATAATAAATTAATTAAGAATCTAATGATATATTTCTAAATAAAAGATCTATTTCTTTACATCGCCCACATGGGTGAGTGTTTTAAGTATGGCTTTAAATTCCCTTAAAAGAAAAGTTTTGTTTCCGTGAATTCATCTCTCTCTCTCTCTCTCCGCCAGACTTGCCACCTTTTGATTGGAATTCCATGTCCGGAGATATCAACGATGGAGACCGCATGAGCTCGAGGAAATGGAGGTGAGAGTCGGATTCCGAGTCTGTCCATTCCTGTAAATTTGGCCAGTCGCCATGGCTGCTTTCCTGCTCATTGAATGGCTGTGAGAAGTCCGTGTTGTCGTGCTCTCCTTGGAGATCTCACCCAGGTGTGTGGCCAGCAACGTGACGAGCCTGACGACAACCTCCTCCTCCTCCTCCTCATCCATTTGGAAGACTCAGGAAGGACAGCATCTCTCTTCTTAGACTGACAAATATACCCGTCCTCCTTGTACTCCGTCTCCTCTCGGTGATCTCTTGCGTCATTGGAGTCCATGTCCTGTGTCGAACGACAGCATGACACACAAAGAATCAAATGAATAGTGTGATTGACGAACCCTAAACCACAGTGAGAAGCCTAAGAAAACCTCAGTCATCTTCGACTGAGGTTAACAAAGGACTTTTCTCAGCTTCTTCTTGAGGGCTTTTCTTTGAGAGAGAAAGAGAGGAGAGAGAGAGAGATCTAAATCATTAGTTGTGATAATTCTAGCTCATAAGACTGCTCATTTACGTCAGAAGCCTGACGACGACAGCAGCAGCAGCAGATGCTTCTCCAAGCTGTTGGTGCCGGCTTCCTGTGGATGAACTCTCGACACCTGTTCCCATCACCCAGACCATCGGGTGGAGGTGCTCTTGTTGCGGCGTTGGAGGCGGTGCCGACCCTAATTAATGCTGCGTCCGCACCATGAGACCTGCATGCACCGATGGATGCCGGACCGCCTCTCATCTCGCCACGCGTATGGACCACGCCACGGGTCGGAGCTCAGCTCTCACGTCACTGCGACCGATCCGCTCCACCTCGTTTGGATCCGACCCCCCCTGGGTTAAGGTTCCACGTCGATGCCGGGTTATCGGATGTGGTTCGTCTCCCATTCATGCGGATCCAATTCCATTTCCAATACCATCTGCAACTCCCAATGGACGGCGGGGATATGAGATGGGAGATGATTGCTTCTGCAATGTTATGCATGATTTAACATGAATATTTTATGTCTCGGATATTAATTGCACAAATTATTTTTTGATAAAAATAAAATAATAAATGCTTTCTAAAGGAAATTTCTCCTTTGTATGCTCTCCATTGGTCCTGTCAGGTCACAACACATTGTGATAGAGGATGAACGAACCCTATATCACAAGCATAAGCACAGTAATGGCTTCTGCCCGGAATCAGATGGAAATTACAGACAATTCGACCACCACCAGCTGATGCACAGCACAGATTAGTAAGAGAAACAGTGGCACCGACCACTGGTGTGATGTCGATGCAGAGCCCCGGTTGTGTGGCCGACACCTGATTCAGATGGCAGCAGACAAATGATGACAGTGGTATGGGGGTAAGAAGCCAGCATTTAAAGCACCTTAGATATGTGATATCAATGAGCAATTGGGACAAGCAATATGGTACAGCTCCTTTTGAAACATGAACCTGTTCGTGAGATCTGTTCGTTCATTTCCATCATTCTACTAATTGTGTTTGTCGGAAGGGAAAACACATACTATTGCCGCATGATCTTGAGAATCTAATTTGCAGCTTCAACAAGCACACTGTAGGATCTTTCCCCAAAAAGACACTGAAAGGGAAAGGAGTTAATGGGCATGATGAGAGCAAGAGGGGATTAAGGTTTGAGGCTCTTGTGGCAGTCACAAGCTCCACATCAAACACAAAAGAGAAAGGGCAGAGGACATGTTCTACCTCATCTCCAGGGCCTTGGTGGTGCAATGCTGGTGCTACTCCTGCAAACAAGATGAACAGAAGGATGTGAGTACTTCAAAAGAGCATTTTTAGCTGCTAATCACATCTTAAATGTGTACTGTTTTGGCAAAGGAGTGGCAAGTGGACCAGCTGAGAGAGTTGAGAAATATGAGAGCCTGAAATGGAGAGTGTGGCCATCAACCAGTTGCTTTCAGTTCCTTCAAGACTGATAGATCAGTGAGTGAAGAGTCCGACAAGCAAATCTCCACAAGCAATCATGGATGGATTCTTCAGATTTGGAACTTGTGGACTCCATTGTCTGATATGAACGGGTACACAACATTTCCAGTTCAAGCCAGTTGATGGAAACTCTAAGAAGATTGAGGGCTCATTATAAATCATTTGCCAGCTTCTGAGATTTAGCTTTGATTTAATCACCATCAAGAACAAAAAGAATCTCAAAGGTTGAGTGATCTATGCACACGCCAACAGAATCAGAATAGGACACAATGAGATTTTATGCAAAGAGTCTTCTTTAAGTGCAAGAGAGAATGGATTTGGGAAATTAGAGCTAAGATCCAGATGTGCATAGGATTTGCAAGGTTAGCTCATGATTCAGAGATGAGGCTGTCACCTCTGTGTTCTTGTGAGAGACCTCAGTTGCCTCATTCGGGAAGACTTGTCCAAGAGCAGCAATAAGCCAACGTTGGTGGGAGATAAGCCAAAAGTGTACCTGGTGAGGAGGTCACAAGCAACAGTTAATCATTCTCACCCCTAATTCTTCAACTTGAAAAGAGAGAGAGAGAGAGAGAGAGAGAGAGAGAGAGAAAGATGCAAACTTACTTGACTCGAGCTGATTTCTTTCTCCAGAAGAATGAGATGACACTCTGGGCAAAATCACAAATTATCAGGAAGAAAATGCAAGGGAAAAAATAGCAAAATATTATTAGACGATGCAAATGACCTAGTCAAATGCCAACGATTCCATGATATTGCATGTTTCTTTACCTAAATGATGACATAAGTATGCTGAGATATCTAAAACTTCAAGTAAAAATAATATTTGCAATTACAGTATAGAGCCACCAATAGATTATCCATTCCAGAAACTTTCATGCTCCGACCAGTAATGACATACGTGCTGACTTGAGAGAGCAATTTTCCAGGCTTTTCAGCCAAAACTAACAGACAACTTACTGGTAGAAGAAAGGGATGTCATAAAAAAGATAATGCCCTTGGAATGGAAATAGAAGCTACATAAAGAGTATAGCCTAGTCTCTTAGTTTATAAGCACTGCCCATCGAGAAGCTCGTAGCAGAAAAAGATTCACTAAGTGTGATGGTTGCTGTGCTTGCACTCCACAAATAACTTTAGAAACAGCTAAACATCGATACAATGAACCAGCTGGCTAACTGGGGAGTTAACCTATGGTGAAAGAAGGTAATAGACAGGCATTCATTGTGGGGAGAGATAAAAGTAGACATGCAATCCAACAATTTATCAGTGTTTCAAAACTTAAGACATTCAAGGTCCAACTCCAAGCATAATAACATAATTCACTTAAAGGAATATAGGACACAATCATGCTTATTGACCATTGTTCCCAAGATAAATTATATTTAATCGTGAAACAGAACAATAAGCAAGATATGTAGCTAATCAACAATCATTCAGTAGAAACAACCAAAATGAAACTATAGAAGCTCAGGCCCAAAACTACAGCATAGGACTAATGCTTCATAAAGAACAGAAAGTCCCTCAAAGCTTGGAATAGCCTACTCATTTTTTAAAAGCCAGCACGGATAATCTCCATTAGAGTAGTGATTGAGATAGTTTTGGCTTTGAAAAGATCCTTGTCACCCATTTGGCCAAAGAAACACATCCATGTTCTTGTCTTGATTCTTACTATACCATATAGATTCATGAAAGAATGTAACTGAAATACAATTCTGAAGCATGCAGAAATCTCCATTGACAGGTGAAGCAATTCCATTAGGCATGTAGACATGCTTAGTTTTGAATAAAGCTACACTGAAACTACCTGCGTATGGAGCATTCCACATCCCAAGAATCATCAAGTAAGAAACTTCATTTTATTTCATGATCGACTTTTACAACCTTTATAAGAATCGGCTCAGGGATGCCTAGACACTTGATATCTAGAATCTAATAGGAACTAATGGAAGTAAACCAAAATTAAAGCACCTGGAATCAAGAATTTCCCCAGAAAAATAATACACCAGGGAACGAGTTGTTGGGTGCATTTCTAGACAAGGTTATTGCAACCTACCAATCCAATCTAACAGTATGAGATTCTGATGGTGTCATGCTCATGTGCAGAATAGACATCTGCCCTTCAATCCTACACAACATGTCAATCATCATCATGAAAGATTCAATAAAAAACATGATAACTTCCATCTAAAGTTATTCTAAATATTAGTCTAACTGCATTTCATAGAGGAAGGACCTATGCAACACTATTAACCTTTTTTTCTCTAACACATCAAAAATTACCTAATTAATCTTGAATTTCCACGACTTCCTGAACTAATTTTCAGGCCACTAACAACTGGGCATAGTTTCAGCATTAGATAGATGAGAGTAATGATATAAAACAGAGCTACATTTCTTGAGCTTTCTACATTCTGGGCATAGAAAATGTCAGAAATATAGAGATATTTCTTTGCAAAAAAAATAAAAATACGATGCTTGTTGCAGCTAAAATAGAAATATTTGATATTGCAGGGATACTAGACAACCCCAAACTTCATAATTAGATCATACTACGCTTGTAAGCCCACTTTCTTTCACATTTCTTTTTATTTTCAGAATAATATTGAGGTTACTCCATGAATTCATGAATTCAACAATTAAAGTAAAAGTAAATTTTCTTAAGCCAACCAATGGTATAGGTTATAAGGCGATCCTACTCTTGTCTACATCTGCTTTGGGTATGAGTTAAGCGGTCACTTTAAAGGATCAGCATAAGTTTAACTAAAAAAAAAATCATAAAAAAATTGAATTCAGATATACTGTTTTCAAATTCGACTCATGCTGCACATACAATCCATGATGGTAACTCAACAGTTACACACAGAGGTGCATCTTCTAGATTTAGTATCACAAATGAATTAATACAAAATTTGAAGTAACATATAATTCATCCTTTTGCAAGGGGCAAGTAAAGCATTTTTTGAGTTGAACATATGCAAGATAAGATGTGCATTAAGAAAATATCAACAAAAGAAAAATTACCTTAATCGTTGATATGAGAGAGGACCCCTTGAAAGATAATGGTTTCTTGACTATTTTCCTCTCTGGTGCCACTTCCTTATACATTTGTTGAGCAATCTGTTTCAAGAACACCATCTGAGCCATATCCGTGCCCAAAGAAATTAATGTCTGCCTCATGGACTCTCTATCGGCATCAAGCGCCTGCAACCTCGTATAAAGCTTCCTTATCTCTGCTTCCTCAACCCTGCCCGCCATGTCCCTTCTGTTTCGGAGCTCCCTTGGTGTGCTGACATACTCCTCGCTCGCCCCATGCACCGCAGCCACCGTATACACTTCGTCGCTCATATCATGCCTTCCGCCACTGTTTGAAGCACAGTCCATGGTTGCTGAGAACTCCTCCCCCTTGATGACCTCCGGGCCAGAACGGTACTTATCCAGGTTGGCGGCATCATCCCCGTTGCACCTCGATGGGGGATAGCCATGATGGAGGAGGTCGAACTGCGGGACCGAACAGGCGGCCGTGGCCGTGTCCGTGTCTGGGGTCTGTGGCTCAGAGCTAGGTACCCCACCGTCGATGCCGATGCCGTAGCTGAGAAGGCGGTGGCGGTACGTCCGGACCTCGTAGGAGAGGGATTGCACGGTCTGGTCGCGCTTGTAGAGGAGATCCTCGAGGGCGGCAATCTCGTGTTGGTCGTGGGCCATCTTGCCCTCGGCGAGGCGCTTGAATTGGCGGGCCTCCATCTGGGCCTCGGCCTTCTCGTGCTGGAGCCGTAGGATCATCAACATGGCCTCCGTGGCGGCGGACGCCGCAGCGCTCCGCTCCTCCTCCAGCTCCGCCTGAAGCTTCTGGACCGACTGCTGGTGGTTGACTAGGGCCTCGCGGAGGGCCATCGCCTCGATTTCGGTCTCCACCCGGGCCACGCCGACGCCAGCGCACGACAGGCAGCGGGCCTCTGCGTCCCTCTCGTCCAGCTTCCGCTTCAGGGACAACCGCCAGGCCATGGAGGGGACCCACGAGGGGCCGCAGCAGAGACAGGTGAAGGCCTCCTCGCCTCCTCCTGGTCTTCCTCCCCCTTCTCGGGGTGGCACGGTCGGCTCTTCGGCATCCATAAATTCGGGCAGGGCATCGACACGGGCAGACAAATCGAATCTGTCACGCCTCCACTTGGCCTCACGCCCCGTTACAAACGCCTCCACCTTCTCCACTCCTCCAGACCGGCGCCGGGGCCGGCGAACGTTGGACTCCTTGGGGAGATGGACGGGGGAGCGGGGTCGAAGCCCTACCCGTATCTCAAAGCTAGGTTTTGGGATCGATTCGGGCGGGGTGGGGCGGGGCAGGGCGCGCGCGAGGAGAGGAGAGAGTGGGGAGGGAGGAGTAGCTTCGAAAAAGTTTCGAGACCCCGAGGAATAATAAACAAATAAATAATAAATAAATTACCTTTTTCCATTATTTATCTTCTAAACTCTCTTAATTAAGTTAAATTATGTTGTAATCTATCATATTATATACCTTTAAGTTAGTCATTACGCTAAACTAATTCCATTGGACGAGACGTCGGGTCGGCCATATCCCAACCTGGAAACGTAGTGTACTTACATCTACTGACTTCTCCTGTACCCACGGAACAGCCTGACACAATAGTGGATCAAGACTTCGGGACCCACACCAAAACACGTACAGATTGATGTGGCGCAGGAAAATATAGTTAAGAGCCGTGTCAACTTACTCCCATCGACTAACAACCTCTCCTGTACCCATTAAACGGCCTGACACAATAGTGGACGCAAACTGTGGGACCTGCAGCTAGAAACGTGTCATGGAGACGGCGGTCTTCATTTAAGCGTCCGCCGGCCGTGCCCTCGCCGCCAGCTTTGGGATCTCCGGCGGGAGGGGCCCCACGCCTACCGTGAGATGGTAGACTTCGAGGGTACTCGAAGCACAATGGAACTGCATCGGCTTCTCCGTTTCGCATGGACCTTATTTCCAAACACCCCGCATCTTTTCTTTCCTCATCCACTTGGGAAAGATCTGCATGCTTACAAACTCGAGGATCGCCGAGTTCCTGAGCTGCTGCTGCTTTAGCTGGACGCCATGATCGATGCCCCTCTCCTACCAGCTCGGTTTGGTAGCAGTCGTTGATGTCGTCCTCCATGCTCGGAAAGCTGAACCATCATAATGCCCGGCGTGTTTCATAGAATCATGTATAGAGTTTTGATGTGTCGTCCTCCTCGAGAACCGATGAGCTTCCTGGGACGAACTCATGAACGGCATACTCCAACCACATAGTATTATCATCTTAATAATAATATGGGCAAAGCATCGTCATCAAAGCATTTGTAGTCCAAAGGTTAGGATAATTGCCTTCCAAGCAATAGATCCGGGTTCGATTCCCGGCAAATGCAGTCCTTAAATTGCCTTATTAAAGATTTATTTTATTTTTTAATGTTTTATTAAACATTTATTATTATTTTTTTAACCCAGTCAACTTCTTAGCGTTCATTTACTGCTTCAATGAATTAATGCCCTAATACATATTCATCCAAA